TCGTTTATAAAAGCAACTAATGAAGCAGGCCCGATTGACACGAATCCAATTGATACGAGACAAAAGAAGTTTTGATGAAATAATATAACTCAAATAAAGTTTCAAAGCACAATAATCTTTGTTAACTAAAGAAGAGTCGTAAAAAATCACTGTAAAAAATTATATGGTTAATTTATTTTAATATGCACATTTAACCGTTTTATTGAAAGCGGATGACAATTGCTGAATTATACCGTCCGCGCACACAATTTGAAGTCAATGAAGTGCTCGAATCGGTCTGTTCTAACCGTTGAGGCAAGAGGTTCCTTGTGCTGTGCTCCCGTGACAGTGGCCGGCTTCGGCCGGCTGCTACGTCATTGTTCTGGAACAATCTTTCTCGAACTTTGGAAATGCTCTGCTGTCCCGCTCCGAGGCGTTGAGCCGGCGTATGGTACGAGTTATGACCAGCCCATGGTCAGGAAGATGTGCCAGGTGCGCGGGAATTTATTTTGCCATTTTAACAACCTGCACGGTGTGCCGTACTATGCTGGTAAAAAAATGCGCCATGCGCCGTACTTTAGAAAGCTAAAATAGTTCTACTATTTTAGTCGACAATATACGTGAGTATATTGACTACGCAAGTCGAACTGACAATAATAAAATGTAAGACATGTCCGGGTTACTTCTGACTCTTCCGCTTGTCCGCCTTGTCGGATACAGAACGGACGGTAATCGTAAACTGCGGCTATTATACATACGAAATANTATCTGCCCTGGAGTGGGGCTATCTGCCCTGGAGTGGGGCTATCTGCCCTGGAGTGGGGCTATCTGCCCTGGAGTGGGGCTATCTGCCCTGGAGTCAGTGGAGTGGGGCTATCTGCCCTGGAGTGGGGCTTTCTGCCCTGGAGTGGGGCTTTCTGCCCTGCAGTGGTGCTCTCTGCCCCGGTGTGGTCTCCACTTTGCTGGCCCCGTTCTGCAGCTCTTCATCCATTGAGAAATCTTCAGCTTTTTTTCAAGACACCCAATTTTGTACCTGAAAACAAAATTCAGTCAAATTCCTTGAACCATTCTGACATGGGGCCGCATTGAACCAGTCTTCAGAGGCTCCCATAAATTCCAATTAAAGAAAAAAGAATGAAGTGCTCCTCGGAGTTCTGTTCTAACCGTTGAGGCAAGAGGTTCCTTGTGCTAAGCTCCCGTGACCCGTGACAGTAGCCGGCTTCGGCCGGTTGCTACGTCATCCTTTCTAGAACTATCTAGTATTTTTCTCGAACTTTGAAAATGCCGTACTGTCCCGCTCCGAGGCGTTGAGCCGGCGGATGCCATGGTACGACCAGCTAAAGTGAAGTGTAACTCCTGAAGTTCTGCTCCCCTGAAGTTGCCAAATTCGTTATTTTTGTGCTCCCCTGAAGTTGCCAAATTTCGTTACAAAATTTTAAGATGCCTCCATGTGTGGTTAGCACCCCCGGGTTCGTGGTTACTGGTTAGTGCCCCCAGGTGAGTGGTTAGTGTCCCCAGGTAGTGGTTAGTGTCCCCAGGTGAGTGGTTAGAGTCCCCAGATGAGTGGTTAGTGTCCCCAGGTAGTGGTTACTGGTTAGTGTCCCCAGGTAGTGGTTAGTGTCCCCAGGTGAGTGGTTAGTGTCCCCAGGTAGTAGTTAGTGTCCCCAGGTAGTGGTTAGTGTCCCCAGGTGAGTGGTTAGTGTCCCCAGGTAGTGGTTAGTGTCCCCAGGTGAGTGGTTAGTGTCCCCAGGTAGTAGTTAGTGTCCCCAGGTAGTAGACTAGTAGTTAGTGTCCCCAGGTAGTGGTTAGTGTCCCCAGGTAGTGGTTAGTGTCCCACCTGGAGTGGGGCTTTCTGCCCTGGAGTGGGGCTGTCTGCCCTGGAGTGGTGCTCTCCGTCCCGGTGTGGTCTCCACTTTGGTGGCCCCGTTATGCAACCCTTCAGCCATTGACAAATCTTGAGTTATTTTTTTTTTCAATGCACCCAATTTTGTACAAGAAAACAATTCAGTCAAGTTCCTTCAACTGTTCTGACATGGGGCCGCATTGAACCAGTCTTCAGAGGCTCCCATAAATTCCAATTAAAGAAGAAGAAGTGCTCCTCTTCGGGACCCGGGAGCGCAACCAAAATTTTATTTTGACAGACTGGTGACAGCCTGTAATCACGCTGGAGAGCGTGAATGCCGAATGGGCGGCGAATGCGTGAGTCGCTTCTGGCACCACAAATATTCAACTCCATTGGAGTAAAAAGTTACACGTTTCTTGAAAGAATCCCTACCTTCTACCTATATGTTGAAACTTGAAATTCTGTGGCAATAATGAAATATCCACCTATGTTGAAACTTGAAATTCTGTGGCAAAATAAAATTTTTTAAAAGCCCAATCATGCTGTAGATTTACAAACTCTTCTAAGTCATTTGCTGACAATCATTATTCATAAGAAATGGAAGAAGAAAATGAAGAAGTTCTTCTTGTTGAGTAAGTTTTTGGCTTCTCATTATTGTAAATTTTATGCCTAACATTCTGTAAAATGGGCAGAAGCCACACATGTAGGTATGATTACTATGATACAAAAATGCCATAGTTTTTGGTCAATTTCTTCCACTTCTATGGCCTTTGTCTTTGCTAATTTTTTTATGTAGAAATAGAAAAATTGCTGTTTTTTCTGCAACTTTTTAATATTGCTTGTATTGTAATTTGTACCTGCTAAAATGCTAAGGATTACCTGCAATCCTGCAAATATTGGAAATGAGTTGCATCAAATTGTAGGTATAAATAATTGTTTCACAGGTGGCAGGTGATTTTTGAAAATTACACTATAAAATTAACTTTTGTCTAGTTTTTACGTATAGGCTAAATAAAGAAAAAGCTGTAATAATGACGGCTTTTTCTTTATTTAGCCTACCTATACAGTAAAAACTAAACTATGGCTGCTGTATCAACCCAAATTAGAAAATTGGGCAGAACCAACCTGTGAATCAGTAGAAAATGCCCTTGAATCTGATCATTTTCACCCAATCCTAGTGTGGCCTATTTAAGGCTATTTTCATGCTAAATTTTTTAATTTGATCTTTTGAAATGATGTTTTTTACTTGCAATTTTAGGAAAATTCAGCACTATACTTTAAATTGAAAAGGAACGAGTGAATTTGACCGCTAAATGACTTGATTAACAGGTATTTTTAATCAAATGTATGAGTGCTTCTGGTCAATTTTTCAATCAGGCTCTCATTCTTACTGATGAAAGATAATAATTTATTAGTGAAAATCATACAGCTCTATAACTGACTATAGAGCTCTAGTCACAGTCTCACAGATTAAAATATACATATTCCCCACTTGCTTTTACCTGCAACTGACCCAAGCTGTTTTTTTATTTTTTAATCTGATTCAAGATTTTTGAAATATCTTATATTATATGCATGTTGCATGATAATGCCCATATGACCATATCCAAGATATTTTAACTGGTCTATCATTTTAGAACATTTCAAAGCAATTTGTTTATCAGTAAGCAAAAAAAAATAGGGTAAACGAGGTATATTCCGACATCGTAGGTAATTCCGTCACTTCTCTAGTTTTTCCTTTATATTAAGCTTTGTTTTAGTTCCATGCGTTCATTGATATTTGAAATGGTGACGTCATACATTTGCGTGTCGAAATACTGCAAAAACACTAGGTTTTGGCCATCTAGTGGGAAAATATTGAGATCCAAAGAGAGACAATGCATGCCACCTGGTGAGATCATCGAAAAATGTGTCAAATTTGACTGTTGACCTTGCTCTACCAAATAGTGAATAACTGTTTTTATAGGAAGAATATTATGGTTTGAGACTTTTAAATACGTCTGTGAATATATTAGGAATCCTTTAAGTAAACTTGTATTCGCTGATTTTAGGTCGTAAATAAATTAATAGATGATTAAGTTGAGTGATGGATTTAGACCCATCAAAACTAATTCTGACACAACTTGAATTGGACACACACAGATCGTTCATAATTAAAAGCCTAATAGCTGTTAATTAAAACGTAATTAAGTAGTGTTCATTGTTCAATATTTGTTAGTGTTCTAATTCAAAGCCGTGTTGTATCCCAATACAGCTCACACAGCGAACGGAATTCGAATACGTTGATGTCGGCATTACATATCAGTTAAATTTGAAGCGCTGACGCAATACGACTCACCACGTGTCGAATATTGCCATACACAGTGACGGAATATAGGGATTTGGTAGGTTTCCATTCTAAAGGCTTTTTAATAAATATGGCAACATTTTGTGACGTTTCATTGTTGCTGACGCGTAGTCCGGTGTTTTGTGAGTCACGTGAAGCCAACAGAAGTTACGTAACGCATACGTTTTTTTTTATAGTTTTTCATTTCTCGATGCGTCCTTAATGTGTCGGAATATACCGCGTTTACCCTAAGGGATAAAATAACTTTTCATTCAAACTAAACTCAGTTGCATGTTTAAAAATTACTTGAATCAAGTCATCCATTTTGAAGATTATCTCTTTTCTCAAAATAGGGTCAATTACAATAAAAACTTTGTAATAAATTTTAACTAAATTATGTGTATTAATTTCAAAGATACATTAAATTTGTTTCCTAAGGTTATTATGAATAAAAAAATTATTATTTCAAAAATCTTGATTAAGAATTTTTGAAAACTTTCATTTTGCATTAAAATTATGCTATTGTACAAACTGATCATTGGAAAATTAATTCTTATATATAAATTTGTCTATTTGTTTGATTTACAAAAGCATATGCTAAAGTCTGATGGTCTAACTGCTGTTGTAAAAATTTAAGTGCCCATTGGGAATTTACAAAAAATTTCAACATCAATATTTTTCAGAAATGGCAGAGCCATTCTCACCACAGCTGATGACTCTATCCTACGGCATCCTGAGCTCTGTCTTCACACAGGAGAAGAGTGTGGATCTCCTTTCAATATTTCATATTTCCCATGGATTGTGAGTATTTATAAATAAATTTCAACATACCGTAGGTACGCTTGAAGTTTAATGTCGAATTCATATGTACTTATTTCAGAATGGTTTCTTAGAAAATTTTACTATCTGTGTATTGCTGTTAAGCTGATAAACTTGAGACCAGTAATTAATTATTTATATACAGAACAATTTTGAGCATTCTTTTGATGATGGCTATGTTTTTGCAGCTGCATAACCTTGATGACTGAACGTCTAATAACTAGAGAAGGGCTTTTTTGCATGAAAGGGCATAATGCTCAACAATTGCCATTCTAGAGATCTTGATTCATTTTGAAAATTCTCAAACATCAGCTTTGTATTGTCACTTGGTGTTATAACAAGCTTCATGTGTCTGTCAATAAAAGTATATGTAGCAATCTGAGAAATTACTATTACTTTACATTTTCTGGTATTTATTGTTGCAATCATTGATCTAAATATTGTAGAATGAGTTATACTTGCTTTGTATTTTGTCAACATTTTTATTTCTTTTCAGTTCTTAACTGTAGCTGATGCTGAGGTGCTGGATGCCACTGCAAGGTCTCTTGCTGTGGCTGACACTGACCCTGAGGCTAAGCTGGCAGCCCTGCACTTCACACACTCAGTCCTACTTAAAGATTTTCCTCCTGAGGTGCTGCTTCAAAGACCTGCACTCATTAGGGTGCGTACATATTTAATGGCTGCAAACTGCCTGACGCTATGAGCTTAGGTCTGTGTGTGCATAAAATGCTTGTGGTTTTATTCATTTACATTAATTTTATTCCACAGTAATTCTCTACTATAGACTATATTTTAATGATAGAAAAAGTTCATTTCATCTAGAGTCATTTTTGCTTAATTGTGGAATAATTCAGTGGACATTATGTACCTATGCCTAATTTATTTCTGCAGATATTCATGACTTCATGACTGAAAAGCAAGTTAATTTATGAATGATACCAGTATATATTAATTTAACAGTTCAATGTTTATATGAATGTTGTTAAGCATTTGTGGTTATGTTCACAACCCATCATTCTCTATTTTTGTATGAGGGACATCTGTTAATCCTTGTAGAAAATTAAAATAAATGACTAGATAAATTTTAAACATATACTACGCAGTTAGGGCATCAGTTAGAGTGGCTTGGCCTTGCTAGGAAATGCATATGCAGCTCTACTGTCCGAAAATGTTTTGGAAGAAAATTTTCCTTTCTCTCTTGTTGAATCGGTGCACTTTGCTATCTACCAACCTGCTAAATTCTATTTGTCTTCTTTGCAATCAACACTGTTGTCCTGGTTTCTGAAATACAATTAATTTTTAAAACTCAGCAACTTGTATGTCAGTAAAACTTGAACCAGTAAGTAGTTATGGAGTTGTAACATATTTTATTCTCATTGATTGTTATTTGTGTTGAACAGAGCCTAGTTGGCTGTCTGGAGGACTCCGTGTGGCAGATACAACTGGCTTCCCTACAATGCCTTGTCTGTGTCTCGGAGCTGCTTTGTGAGAAGGCCTCCTCTGATTTGCAGCCTCATTCCACTGAAGTCAAACTAATGGTTGGTTGAAATGAAAACATTTAAATGACCTTGAAGCTCAATAAAGTGTGCATAATCTTGAAGCAATGTGTTGTTTTAATATGATACTTTCTGTATCTGAATTACTTTTCTTTTGAAAGTCCTCATTTGTGATGGAGTTTTCATTCTAGACAAAGTTATTACTAATTTTGTTTTCCCTAACTCTGTTATCAGGCAATTCCATTATGTAATAATGTAACCTCAATTGTACTTCGTTTCTTGAACGACTTGCGGTGTCATCCTGAAGACGATGGTAATTAACTCAAAGATCAATAATAATATAGGTACCTATATATATATATACATATATGCCTTAATATTTTACGTATGCTTTCAGACAGGAAATGGGCGATTCTGGGCAACAAGAGACCAGCCCATACAAACTCAGGTATATGAATATTTGTTATCAATGCACCAACCGGTTCTGTGCCCTAATTTTTGGCTGTTGCAACTTTTCAGCTTTATGGATAATCAAATTGTTATGTAATTTTGCAATTCCATTAATAACTTTTAAGGCCATTTAAATTATTTAAACATTATTTGTCTGGTCAAAGAACTTTATACTTTGGATATCATAGCCATAATTTTGTAAATTTTTTTTTTTTTACTAAATATTTAGCTATGTTGAACTTGTTGCTTGATGTGCAGACCAACCACCCCTACTTCACTCTGCCTGCTGATCCCCTGGACACATCACAACTTGACGAGCTCAAACCCCATGAGTTATCTATACAACAGTTTGCTTCATTACTACTCACATCTCCTCTTGCTTCTCTGCCTGTATTCAATAGTGAACACACTGTAATGAGAACTGCTGCGGCAGATCTCTTGAACTGTGTGCTCCAGTTACTGAAAGTCAGTGTGTCCGTACCACTACTATGGCAGTGCTATGAGAACTGTACAGATATTTCACAGAATGTAACACGGGGAGGTGATTTATCCAGCAATATTACTCGAGTTTTCAGCAGTGATGCAGAAGTACAAATTGTCCAGGATCTCGTTTCTTCCATTAAATATGTAAGTGTTCCGTGGTTTTGATACATTGCTGCTAATTAATATGACATCTATTATTTTCTTCCGCAATGCGTTTGTCGCGCCTTCTATCTCAAAGTAGGACATTTATTAGCATGCATTTCTTCTTAGTAACTTATCGCCTTAGACGCGACTTTGATTAAAATAATTAATTTTTTCAAATGGAAACTTATCGACAGGAGGGTTCACTTTGACCAAATTTTTATTTGCAACTGATGTCAGGTTACAATCATTTATGCATTACTTAGCTTCTACGTCTGAGTACTTTATTTTGAAATTAACTGATTGTATTATTCGTGAAAAGACTGCTTTCAAAATGTAATCATATGTGCAAAAGTTTTCCGGATTGTGAGCTAATAGTTGGAAATGATGCAGGTGTTGGAAAGCGTGTCTATGTCGCTGAGCAGCAGCAACGAGAAGCGCTGCAGTAGCAACGATCGCGTGCTGGTGCAGCAGCACTGCAGCGCCTTCATACAAAGCCGTGCTGCACTTGTAGCGTGGCTTCACACCTTCGCACAGCCCGCCATCTATACCACGCACGTATGTCAATACAAAAGAAGTGATTTATTAAAAGCTACCTCAACTCATGAATCTCACGAGTGTTAATCCACTACAAAAAAAAAGTGAAAATTGAATGAATTGAAAAGTGTAAAACTTCAACTCGGACGTGATTTAATGTAACTGATGCAAACACATGAAATTAGGATGGAAGAAGCTGTTATTGTTTTGAGTTGTGTTTTGAATGAATAAATGGAACGTAATAGTAATGATCTAGACACGAAAGTTGCACCAAGATAGTCAAGTTATCAGTGACGCATTAACTCGCGATACGGTATTACATTTCAGCATTCATTGAATTGCTCATTGTTCATTAAAGTGAAATAAGTTTTAATTTTTCTTCCATTTCAGCTGGTGACAGTGGCAGCAGCTGAGGCAGTTGTGCTGGCGATAGTTGACATTGACAGCTTACTACAACTGCTGCCTGCTCACTCATATGTACCCAAGCAGTCCCAGTCTTCCGTCCCCCCACACATGGAGTCTTCCTCCTCGTCTTCCAGCTGCTATGACTCACCAACGCAAAGCTCAACAGGAGCGGCGTCTGTGTCCTGGGCACAGGCTGATCTCTCTTATTCCTGCTTACCCACTGCCATGTTTTCGTGGGCATCGCTCACCACAGGAGATAGCAGCTTGGTGCGCTTTAATTGCTATTACTTATTACTGTCATGCCTATTATATTACTGATATGCCTATGATATTACTGACATTCAGCATGTAATTATATTGCCAATATTCCACTACTGTCAATACGACCCTTTGATGTGTGATGATACACGTTCTAATATCAGTGTGATTCAGATGTGTCTCTAAATAGTGTTCATTAAGCTTTTAATACCTTTGCTTTTTGTTCATATTGAAGTGAAACCATTTTTTCCGCCCAACAAAACGGCAATAACGCCTCAATTATATATAGGTAGATCTTTTTAGAATTGTTCTTTGGTGAAAAACTTTTCTCGTTTTCCTTATAATATGGAACCCTTTATTTTTTATTTTATTTTCAGATGAAATCAGAAACAATGAACGCACCTGAGGATCTTGTGACGCTACTTGCAGTGCTGGCTCAGATCGACAAACTCTCGCATAACCAGGTGACCGAATTTTGTTTATGTAGGTCGTGGTTAGAATCAGACGAATTAAACTCCAGTTTTTCATTCACAATCTCGTAAATAGGAGACTAAAAATTTATACGCATTTGCAAACTAACATTACCAACCACTCCTTTGATATTAACTGATATCTTTTATTTACTTTGATTTTTGTATAGTATAGGCGTAGTAGGATCAAAATGAGCTGAACGTATCGCTTTTCAACTAAAATTTGGGTAATGTAGAACGAAAGTGTAATCCGCTTTGAGAGTACTGGTATCAAACTGATTTCTGCTATCAAACTGATTTCTTTGAGGTGTAGGCTTCCTAAATTTGATCTATCCCTTGACTGATCCTAACAGGTGTGCTGCATAGTGTCAGTGAGCTGCAGCCTGCAGAGCTGCGTGGCTTTCATGCGATGCTCGAGCTCCAACCTTCCTGCCTTCTTGGAGCTTGCCTTTGCCTCCTTACCATCATTCCTACTCCACACCAGCAAGGTCTGTGTGCCTCGCTTAGGGAAGTACTTTGTATTTGCAAAAACTTCTCATTCAGCGGGATATTTTTTTCGGCTAAAAGAAATTTCTATTCTTGATATTAGGCTGAAAGGGGCTAAACTTGGTATAATAAGAAACTGGCCTATTCAGGAATACTTAATTTCAAATTGCCCAAGAACAACAAGGTATCGAAATCTTCTGAATAAAATTATTTTTAGACGATTTTTGTAAATGTTTGTTACCATTGTTGTGCGATTTTTCGGCCAACGACAATTATTATCAAATTGCCTACGGCCTTTAGACAATAAAAGCTTGGGAATATGAACTTTAATTGATAGCTCTTAATCTAGGTTGGGATCCGAATGCTGTCGCGAACTTGTGTTAGTATTTTTATCTATCACAATCAGCTCAACCTGTACTTCTAGCCTAAACTTAGTCCCAAACATTGCGATACACGAGTGACGTTGTTGCACTGTGGAAATTACTGGCTGTGTGTACTTATTCGTATTTACTTTGATCTCATGTTTGCTATGAATCTTCATGTGTCAGCAGTTGGATGTTGATGACCTATTTTAGTCGACAGGCCTTTTATTATTTTAGGACCTTATTTTAGGCCTTATTTTATTTTAGGACATCTCATTGTCTACTTATTTATAAGCATATTATAACTTTTTTCTATTAATCTTGGTATACCTTTAATTTATATTATATACGTTGCAGCTCTATGCTAAGAAACTGCTGGATGGACTTTGTAAGCAGTACGCTGGTGCCTCAGCGCTGCAACAGTCCTCCATGAGGGCCATCTTACTTCACCTCCTCTCCCTCCATTCCCAGCCTCATCTCGTAGATGTTGTGTAAGCCTTCAACGTGCAATATGCTTTGAACTCAATAAGAACTACGCGTTAAAACTAACTTAAACTAAAGGTTAAAATTCAAGTGAACCAAGTCTTAAAACTCATGTGGATACGCCTTGATTTTAATATGAACCACGTTTTAGAACTTACGTGAAGTACGCCCTAAAAATAACAAACTATGCCTTAAAAATAACCTGATCTACACTTTAAAACCAATGCAAACTACGCTTTTAAAACGAAGTGAACTACGCTTCAACCTTCGTGCGGCTGATAAGATAGAACTTTAATTTCATTAGGTGAACTGTACCCACACTAGGAACATTTAGATAATTGTCTATAGCGTGCCGGTATTGTTACTATTATACGCAATGACGAGAAATAGCTAAAGTAAGCTCTCTGTTTAAAAAAGTCCCCAGATGGAATATCTGCAAATACTTGCACGCGAGTAAATGGGCTGTCTCTGATTCAGTGCTAGGATTGATACCTCTTCATTGTATTAACATTTTCCTTCTCTTTAAAGTTGTCATTCTAATTGTGATGATCTACTGTAAGTCTCGCGTTTCATCAAAACTGGCGAACTGTTATTAGATGTACCGGGTACTCGTCAAGCTTCATTGATCAGGATTCACGTGCTGCAAGATTTGATTGCACGAACGCTTCTCCTTATTTATTTTGTATATTTCTTATATTTTTTATGGTTTTACTTATTTATTTTATATATTTATTGTATTTTTTATGCTTTTACTTATTTATTATGTATATTTCTTGTATTTTTTATGCTTTTTCCTTTATTATTTTATATATTTCTTGTGTTTTTATTAATATTTATTTGTGTGTTAAAGTTTATCGAGCCTGTACGCCATTGTGATGTCGTGCGTGGGCGCCGCTGCTGCAGCCAGCGGTCGTCAGCTGCAGCCGTCGCGCTGCTTGCTGCTGCTTCATCCGCAGCTCCTCAGGTCGCTCTTGTGCGCCTCTCTGCGCTGTGATGAGACGGAGGTCAGCTGCTTGTTGCTTGCCTTTACTGCTACATCAGTTATACATTATTTAACGGTATACATTATAATAAGGTATAAATTATTTAAACTCATGGCAACCGCGAGAAATGATTAAATATTTATAGGATATTAGTCCAGGTAAAGTTGAATGATTCCATAAACTAAAGCTCATATTTTTCTAAGTGATCATTGAAACTGTTTGTTTTAATATTATTTAATTGGGTAACTATTCAAAAAAATTTTGCCATGTATTTCAGTTTACTCTTTGCTTACTGACTGTGACTGTTCATTGGTTTTATTGGAAATCATAAGGTTCTACTATATGAAAAAATTCCATTATTAGGGCGAGAATATAGCAATAAATGTCTGTACCTTTCTAAAAGTTCTTCTCCTATCTTATATTTCAGCCTGAATTATTTCATTTTACGTTTTATTTTGTACAATTGAGATATTTTTCAAACATAGTTTATATTTGTGATAAACTTTGATTTATTTCATTCGCTTATATAGAAACAGTGGTCACGGAAAGCTGAGTCAGTGCTGCTGGTGCTGCTGAGCAGCGAGCATACGATGGGGGACGCCCTGTGGCGGCGGCTGTGCTTCAACATCTCCGTCGTATGGCCCCTCGCCAGCGCCCTCACTGATACCTTCGGTGCTCCACTGCTCAACGTCCGTCTTGCCTTCACCGCGGCCTGCACCAGTGAACACGACATCCGCTCCAGCAACCAAATCGTGAGAACATTTCTATTTGTTGCAGGTTCTTCAGGCCGTGGCTGCTGAAATCTTTCAGTTTGGAAGTGTATTTATTTTTGATGAATTCTGTGTTTTACTGAAGCCCAATATTCTAATGAAAAAGTCCCATTCAAATGAAACTGCTGGTAAGGCTTTGCTACCTCGACGGTCGATGTTGTTGTTGTTGTTGTTGTGGTTCCCCGGTCTCAATTTTACAAGATGATTGTGTGGGGAGCTCTCTGGCAGGATGGGCAGGTGTCTGTGTCTGCTTGGCCTATTCTGTTTGCGTATGTTTGTAGTGAGGGGTGGTGGCCGCAGCGCAGCCTGGCTAGATGTACTCTCTCCAGTCTAGAGAGCTGTGTTTCTGTGCTGCTTATGTCAGGTGGTGGGTGTCCAAGGACTTTGTTGTTGCCGGCCAGCTCCAGCGTTCTAAGTGTTTTTTTGTGCTGGTGTTGCCTTGGGGTGGGGGTACTGTGTCTAGTATGTTGGTGTAGTATCTGTGTGGGGTTTGCACTATTTGTCTGTGCGTAGGTGGGTGGTTGCGTAGGTAGTGGCATGGGTGTTGTGTGTTGTTTATGGCTGCGGCTATGAATTGTGTTCCTCTCATGTCGAGGTGTGCTTTTATGGGAAGTATTTTTGTTTCTGCATGAAGGTGTTCTATGGGGGTGCTTTGTGTGCAGCCTGTGACTATCCTGAGTGCTTGGTTTTGTAGTGTTTGGAATTTCTGTATGTTTGTGTTGGATAGTGCGGGCGCCTAGGCGGGGCTGACATTAGCCGGCACTGTTCTGATGAACTGTTTGTATGTTGGTGCTAGTGTTTCTTTGTTTTTGCCGAATTTGGTACCGCCTAGGGCCTGAAGTGAGTTGAGTCTGATGTTTGCGTGGTTCACCATGTTGTTGATGTGAGGGCCGAATGTCATGGAGGTGTTGTAAGTGACCCCTAGTATTTTTGTTTCGTGTGTGTGCGGGATCGGGGTCTTGTTTAATGTGATGTTTGGTCTGTATTGGTGCTCCTTTGTGTGGCTGGTCATTAATGTGTTTGTGGATTTACTAGGAGCAACCTTGAGTCTGTTCAGTGTGAGCCATTGTGATTAAGTGTTGAGATATGTTTGTGCTTGTGAGGCATATGTCTGCGGATGGGTGAGTGGATGTTATTGTGACGTCGTCTGCGTAGGAGGCAATGTGGATGTTTGGAGGTAGTTCGGGTATGTCGTGCATGTATAGATTAAAGAGTGAGGGTGATAGGACGGAGCCCTGTGGGACTCCGTTGGGTATGAGTGTTGTGTGTGATGACTGTCCTGAGTAGTGTACGTATGCTTGTCTGCCTGATAGGTAATTGGCAAGCCAGCGTTTGTTGTTGTTGTGTAGTGTGGTGTTGTAAATTTTGTTTGTGAGAGGGAGGCGAGGGATGGCATCAAAGGCTTTACTGATATCTATTGTAAGTAGTAGTGTTCTGTGTGCGGGTTTGCGGGAGTTGATGCCATCGTTTATGCTTTGTGTGAGGTTTGTGAGTAGTGTTGTGGTCGAGTGGTGAGGTTTGTGAGTAGTGTTGTGGTCGAGTGGTGAGGTTTGTGAGTAGTGTTGTGGTCGAGTGGTGAGGTCTGAATCCGTGTTGTGTTGGAGCAAGTGTAATGTGCGGAGTGGCTGTGTTCAGTATGAGGCGCTCTATGACTTTTGATGGTGTACCGAGGAGTGTGATTGGTCTGTATGAGGCGGCCTCAGGGGGTGGTTTGTTGGGTTTGAGAAGTGTGATTATTTTGCCAATTTTCCAGATGTATGGTATTTTGGAGTGTGAGTAGGAGAAGTTGGCAATGTTTGTAAGTGCCGTGATTCCGTGTGTTTAAGGTGTATATTTGTAATGTTGTCGGGCCCAGCAGCGGAAGAGTTTTTAATTCTGTCATTTCAATCAGCGAGTAATAAGTTGAACCTATTTGTCTGTGTGTTGTTAAATTTTCTTGTTTACTATTCAGCTTTTTTTACACAGTCAATGTTGATAATTCATGTTTAATTGACTTTATGCTTGATTGACTTGATACATGATTGACTTGATGCTTAAGTGACTTGATGTTCAATTGACTTGATGCCTAATTGAGATGCTTAATTGACTTGATGCTTCATTGACTTAATGTTTAATTGACTTGATGCATAATTATCTTGATGCCTCATTGACTTGATGCTTAATTGACTTGAAAAATAGTTGACTTGATGCTTAATTGACTTTATACATAATTATCTTGATGCTTCATTGACTTGATGCTTAATTGACTTGATGCTCAATTGACTTGATGCTTCAATTACTTAATGCCTAATTGACTTGATGCTTAAAAATGACTTGATGCTTAATTAACTTGATTCTCAATTGACTTGATACCTAATTGACAATAAGTTTCTGATGGTAATTACTGTTTTTACACCAGGAATTACTTTGCGATCTGCAAAGTCTGTACCACCGCACCGACGCCGTCCGCTGGGAGGCGTTCGCCCGACTGACGGAGAGGCTGCGGACGGCGGACGCTCGCTCTGCAGGAGGCCACTACAGAGCCTCCCTTGCCCCCGACCTCTTCCTCTTCCCCCCCGTGCCTCTCGTGCCAGACCACCACCATATTCAAGTCCAGGTGAATTTTCAACACCGTATGAATGCTGTCTCTTGTCTCAGTCAAATATTACCAGTATTTTTAAGCCATACTTGCTCTATAGTATCTAGTCTGAGTCAATTATTATTTTTAATGCATAGGTACTTGCTTTATACTGATACAACTTCTTGTCTTACTACCGACTGATATACACGATATTAATGTTTTGTGTGTAATTTCAGCCTCAGCAAGTGCTGAGACTAACAGAGCTGTTGAATTTATCAACACGTCTGGCCATGACGTCGAGTTTGGCTGGTGGCGCTGAGCAGCAGGATGAGAGGATGGTGAGCGCCATGTGGCGGCAGTTGTCGTACCTCAGTCAGCACCCCGACCACTGCACCGTGCTGCTCAGCACCACACCTCTGCACTGCTACACTCATGTACTCACACTCATGATGGTGCGAGTCAACGCGAGTAAATCTCTTGCGAATTATTGTGGAGTGATTAAAATAATGATTGGTTTCTTTGTGAGGTTATCGGTTTTCATTTTTAAAATACTTTAATTTTTGTGTTTAATTAACGTACATAACATTGGAACATCTTTGGATTTAACGTACATTACATGTAATTATCTTCTATCTACTATGAGTTTTCCTATTTTATGATTTTTTACCTTCAGATTGATTCCCATGTTCTGTTTATTGCATTAATTTCCTTTCTTTTCTGAAGAATCCATTCAATTTCCCTGAAAATGAAAGACGTTTATTGTTTCCCTAGACAGAAGAAAGACACAGGTTTTCGTTCCGCGACGCCGGATGTTGCCTGGAGGTGCTGAGGAACTGCGTGGCGCACAAGCCTGCCTGCAGACGAGCGCTCGCCGCCGACACCCAAGCCATCGAACTCGTCGCCAGAGGTGCGATGTTGCTCTCGGGGCGAGTTGTTCGTTCGTTTTAGTTGGAATTATTTGCGTTGTGTGTTCAGAAACTTCATTTATTCAGCAGCAAGAACTGGCTATTGTATCTATCAAATCAGGTTATGTATTTGTTGATTATCTCTTTTATATCGTGCCAGTTACGATGCTGTATATTCATGAAGATGCCACTTCAGAAACATTAGTTAAAATTGAAATCCTGTCTGTATTTTATATTATGTGTCTGTTTTGAAAAATTGCTTTTTTGTAGCCTACTACAATCAATTCATTTTTTGCCGAGTCATTTATATAGATTATTAGGCAACTTAATCATGGCAAAATGCAGTATTATTAGAATTATAAAACGCTTAGTTCATAATCATCATTAGTTTGAGTAGTTATGTTACGATGCAAAAGTGACGAGGGAATCAATCATGTGTTAAATTTTGCAAGTGGAACGTAATATTAACATTCTTGTATTTTTTAGCATCATTTCTGCTTGCGGATGATCATCAAGCTCTGCAGCATGGGGCCGTGCTACTCTTCATGCTTTTGTGTGAACCTCACATCATCTATAGTACCCGGACTTCTTCTAACACTTCTTCTTCTGCAAGAAGTCAACATTCGTCTACGCCTGGCGTCTCCTCCGACATGGCCAGTTTTGCGTCGATGGAAGATTCGTCTACAGGAGTTCATATGAACCTCCCCGCCGTGCCGCACATAATCAGTCGGAAGCTCCATCTTCCCTTCCTGCATTCGGTTCTGAGTGCTGAAGATTGTGCGGTCTTTGATCACAACCGCGTTTTTGTAAACGATTTAATGTCTATACGGGATCCAGCAACTAGTAGGCCTCCCTTGAATCGAGAACAGAGTTCCAGATCTCATCTTGGATCTCCTGAAAACATTTTTGCTAGTAATGAAAGAACTGTTGAAGCAATCGAACGAGCACCAGAACCTAGCGTTAATGATGTTAGATGTCTTCTAAAGGAAGCCTGCAGGCCCGCTCTAGTTATTCAGGAACTTCTCTCCGACGCAGAAAATGATGGCTGTTCTGAACTCGTCCAAGGATTCTTCAAGATGGTCTGGAGTGTGTGCAGCGCTGGAAGCATAACTAAAGTTCGTCTGGAAGTCGATTATTCTTCAAATTTCAGTGAATTTTTTACCATGACCGGTAAAGAAAAAATACTTTTCGAATCCATGCTTCCAGAATTGACCCTGAAAGGCTTATTACTTGACGTCGATAACGGCACCAACTTGAAAGTGGTCAAGAAGAAGTTGTGCCTGATTGAAAACTGCTTGACTGTGCACTTGAAACCTTGTATTTATACATTTTCACACACGCAAGAGAGAAACTCGAAAAGCATAGAAAACCGTACACCCTTCACTCCCTTCATGCTCAGTGAATCTTGGTGGTTGGTTCTAGGAAAGTTCATGACTAAAAATGTCCCGAGCACGATTGCTGAGCAACAGTTGTTTTGTCACGCCGTCGCTGTGCTGAGTCTTGTCTTGCAAGTACGTTGCCTTTAGGAGCTTTTCGTTTCATAACATTTTTAACGATTCCTATCTAAACATGACTGCTATGAATGTAGCTACGTACCTATATCGATTGTTACCTTTAATCTTTGAATTTAGCTTTTTCTCTCCCCATATGGTGGAAGATATTAGGAATTCATAGTATTTTACACTTTCAACAATAATTATATAACTTTTTGCTCAATTTCACGTGGGTTCATATTTTGTTTCATCAGGGTTTGCTGACAACGGACAGCCTTGCCTCTGAGTCATCAGTTGTGTCAGGACTGACGAGTGTTTTACTGATGCCGCATTCCGTCATCTGCTCTACGCTCCTAACTGCAGGTCTGTTGATACCACCATATCATTCATCCAGATTCTTAATTGAATGTTGTTCTTTAACTTGTGCGTAGTATCTCTTCTTAGGTCTCGGCTTATTAAGAAAAAATAGAGCCATGGAATTGGCAAAGAATCGGAGAATTTCTCGAACGTTTGAACATTTTTGCTTGCATCTACTTCATTTCATTCCTTGAAATTGAGTTATGTGGACACAAATTCCACCAGAGCATCAAGTTTGAACCTTTTTCAGACTCAATACCGTGCTACTATCTCTGACCATGAGCTCTTCTCTTTTGAATCTAGTTTAAATAACCGCGTAACACAAAAATGCCATAACTCTGAGAAAGATGATAACATTTACGTGAACTGGAGGTTGACAGTAATATTTTGATGCTCTGTGTTGCAGGCACCCGCGATTGGAGCGAGAGCGCCTCTGCTGCAGACCAGGCAAGATTGTTTGCTCGTTTTGTGATTTCGTTAGAATTTTATTTTCTTGTCACTCCTCTTTTCTAGTTTTTGACAATTTTCCAGCTTAAATATTGTTGATTTTTCTATTTCATTTAATTACGTTTTATTTTCGGTAAAATTGATCAGCTATTTGTGGCCATCCTCCAATGTGATAAATTTCATCGGACTGTAATTAATAGTCTCGTTTGTTGCTTATGAAAATAAATATTTGAAGTATTGTACTGTTTCAAAATATATCTACAGTCCATGTTTAAATCGTCTTTTTATCTCATTTATCACCTTCAATATTATGTTAATAACACTCTGCCCTTTTAACACTTTGACTCCGATTATTTCATCCTGTACTATTATTTCATTTTTTGTACTGTTTTTAAACAGGGTTGCCAGACGGTCATTTTTTTCGGGGCAAATTCCGTGATTTAGTTTTTCACAATTGCGTTGGTCGGCTAAAATTTATGATAGGGGTACTTCCGAATCAAATTCTAAGTACTGCAAAAAGAAAATAAATGGATTTTTATAGCGGAACCTACAAATAAACTAGTATATATTGAGTTATCGGCCTTTTTTGTTCTCGGCTTTGGCCGATTTTAGGTAACCTGAATTATGTACCACTACGTCCTGGAAAAATTCATTTTGTGGTACGCATATGTACCACTTCGGAGTCAACGTGTTAATGATTCGGTTATCATTGTTACAGGTTTGGTTCCGGGTGTTCACCAGCTTGGTGTCGCTCATACTACTGTTGACAAGAAGAGATAAACTTCCCGGTGTCGAAGCCCCCGGCGACCAGCAGCAAGCTCATCCTCAAGCTGAAGAGTCGCCTGCACGTAGCCCTGGGGAGCGTCTGGGTGCTGTGCTGTCGAAAGTCTTCTCGAATGTTATCCAGAAAGCTTTATTTAAAAATCCTTTCAGTTTGGGTTAGTATCGGTCTATTGTATTATTTCGTTACACTGAAATGCTGAAATGTATGATATGGCAGAGATAAATAATTGATTCTGGTGTTTAAAACTGTTTATCTGAGGTCTCATGTTTCTTGGTTCATACAAAGAGTGACTTATGATTTATTGATGGGGACTTGATTAGTTTTTTTTTCGATGACGTTCTTCATCATTTTGTTCTGTAAACTTCATGAAATGATTATCCTAGATTATATTGCTCTCGTAAAGATCCAACTGCTAGGGCAATAGATCCAAAGATCCAACTGATTATACTGCCATCGCAAAGATTCTATTTTCATCCTCAGCATTGTGCGTTCATCCAACAATTGTTCGAATCAATATAGAACCACGAGCGGTCTGGAATTCTTAGTGTGAATCTGCATATTCGGTGGGACTGTTTAGTGCACGTACGGTATATTTGCGTGTCTTGAAGGGTTCTGCTCTCTCTGACAAATGCACCGGTCGTATGTCCAAATAGTGCGCACGCACCATAAAACCAGCACATGTGTGCCGGTTTAATTTTGTTCCTCATCTAATTTCATTTAAATTAATTCTCAAGTTTAACTTTACCCCAGATTAACTTTGTCAGTTAACTACAATAGTTGAAGCAAAACTCGTTTGAAGTGCAAATGTATTGCAGGAGTTCTGTGCTGCAGCAGCGCATGCCTGGCGCGCCTGGCTGCCGCAGGCTGGTTGGCTGCTCCTGATGCAGCTTCCTCCGTCTTACGTCAGAGCATCGCGTGAGCAAGTAGCACTATATTATTCATTAGATATTCAAAAAAATAATGTCATTATTCGCGGGGGTTCATGTTTTTCTTCAATATTCGGATTCATGTAATAATTGTAATGTGATCCTTTTATCTGCTCTAGTCGTAACAAACGGATAATTTATACTGATTTTTTACCATGCTGCTCCCGTTCAATGAAAAAAATGCCGTTACTATTTGCGGGCGTTACTTGTAATTTATGGAAGTTTTGCTATCTACTGAACAAAGCAGTTCTGTTGATATTTCACTTATCTTGGATTAGGATTTTGGTCTATGAAATTTCTAAACTTGATAATAATGCGCACATTCACATCATAATTTGATCCAACCGACTTGCACTAAAGGTTAGGACTGTTGAAGTGCTTCCAACATTGGCAATTTTCCAAGCTATTTCTTGAGCAACGTTTGTAGTTTGTTTGTATGTGTGACATTGCTCGGATCTCTCAGTCTGCTGACGTGGTTGTCTGAGGGCCGCAGCCACTCGAACGAAGCGTTCCTGGGCCGCTGCTCAACTCTGCACGCCGCCGTCACGCTCTGCCACACCCTCGCCCACACTCCTCATATGCAGCAGGTCTGAACAATATCTCAGTCATTATATAATAACTCAGAGTCCTCGGTCCAGTTATTACTGAATTTTGTCTACAGGTGAGAAGTGTCATTTTCTTACCACTGAAAAATGGACTACCTTGTTGCACATTGAATTATTCTCAATTATCATTGTCTTGGCCCCTCTGTTCACTTATTTGCGCTGCATAGCTTGTGTAAATCAATATATAGAGCCCATGTGTAGGCGTCATTACTCGAAGAATTCTACGTACTGCATCTAATTAATTCTTTATAAAGCTAAGGGAGACATGTGATCAGGTGCTGCCGAGTCTGACAACTCCCCCCGACGCTGCACATCGTCAGCGTCGGCCACGGCTGCCGTGGCTGCCGGTGACGCTGAGTCACCGCGACCGAGTGGTGCGCAGCAGCGGCTGGCTGTCCCTGGCCGCGCTGGCCAAACGGCCCGCTGCCCTCAACTTCTTGCTGCGCTCTGCCCATGGCCGAGTTGAAATCTGGGACGCTCTTTTTACGTGAGTGTTGTGTTCAACGTTGTTTATTTATTTAATAAAACATTTGGTGCATGAGGAGCAAAGAAGTAGCGATGAGCGCGATGGAAAGAATACTAGTGCATTCATATGATCGGTATCGTTTTAAGGCAAAGCAATTTCAATGTCAGCCTAAAAAATGTAATCATTTTGATAGATGAATAAAATTTGGCTATTCTAAGAGGAAAAATAATATAGAGTAAATTTTTTTAAGCAATATGATTTATATTTATATTGTTTCTATTTTCGCTTCTTATAGAATACCTTCACAAATAAATACCAATAATGCCCAATTGTGCTGTATAATAATCACGTTGACAAATTCAAGGCTTATATTCATGTTAATCCGAGCACAGATGCATAACGTCTGAGCATCGCCCAGTGAGTGAGCGCACGGCCGCTTGTCTCTTCTTCGCCCACCTGGTCGCTGTTCTGCCAGCTCTTGCTGCCGGCGAGGGTGTCGGTCAGGGTCCTGAGGATAGTAATCCTGACGAGGGAACTGATGACCCGCTGCCTCCTCTAGTAGTCGACACAGAGACACAGGTGACTCTAGATAAATTTAGTAATAGGTAATAGATCCGACATGAAATTTGTAATTCTGAAGCCCTGGAAAATTAATTAATTTTTAATTGAAATTTATAATTCTGAAGCCCTGGAAAACTACTGCAGGAGGCCGTCACGCATTATTAAGCTCCAGCCTTACGATTGGATGTATCATGTTAGAGGATGTGCGGAGGAACAATGACCTGGCATAGTAAGGTCATGATAAAATGTTTAAAGAATGTGCAGAGGAACAAAGTCAGGAAATATTGAGGTCGTAAGCGAAAGTTTGTTCGCCGGAAATTATTTGATCTCAGAGATGAACGTCTCACGTTTACGATTGATTGCGAATGTGGATCCTATAAATTAACTCTTAATATAAATTTCTGAGCACAATGGATGTATCTCAAAGCATGTCTCCACAAGCTGTGTATCACGACCTTCGTTATTGGGATTTTTTTCACGACCTTCGTTATTGGGATGATGTGTATCACGACCTTCGTTATTGGGATTTTTAATATCATATTTTCTATCGGAATCTCAATTACTCACGTTCTCAAATGCGTAATATCGTAAGGTGCAAAAGTCTTTTTCTATTCTCTTTCTTTCTATAACGAACTCATTCATTTCTTCATATCCAGGCGAGCGTGAATGGTGCTGCAGGCGTCCTGGTGATGGCCGAACACCACAGCCTCTACAGGAGCCTCCTGTCGACCATCTCACGTCCTCTACTCCTCGCCCCGCCCTTGAACCCGGCGCCCTGCAGCGCCTTCTTGTCTCCGCGCCTCCTGCGAGCTGTGCTCCTTCTGCTCAAGAATCTCGTGGCGCTGCGTCCCCGCGCTGTCTCCTACAGGATCGTCGAGGAAGGCCTTGTGCCGTTCATCATCACGTCAGTTCGTTGTTTTATCCCAACTGATTGTTGAGCCGCGATCCATAGTTTGTTCCTCACTGCATTTTTTAAATCGATCAACTCGATTTTGTTTCTTTATCAGCAGATGTAAAGTTAAAGTTTTCACAAATTTATTAGTTACGTGTATTGAATTTTGGGGTCAATTTCCCAAACTCTTGATTGATTTCACTTGTGTTTACACGTATGAATATTCTTTGCTTTTTTATTGTAATCTAATGTAGAATTTTGAATATTTATTCGGTTTATTTTGTCATTTGGTAGGAAAAAAATGGTAATAATATTATTTCTAAAATCTTAATCGAGCTTGATTTGTGAATGTCACTTTCTAAATCAAATCTAATTTAAAACCGTCATCAAAATGGTTCTCCTCCTAAGTAAATTATCCCCTATTCGAATTAAGGCCAAACATATTTCTTTGACCATCATTAGTTGCGTTGAGGTTGAGTCCTACATCCCCATCACCCACCAGGCATATTGAGGAACTGTGTACAGCTCTCTGCTCGCCCGCTGCTGGGTCCTGTGCTGAGTCTTCCTCGGTGTGGACGAGCTGCCTGCAGAGCGGTGCGGGGCTCCTTGTAGCTCTGCAGCATCCCTGCCTAACCTCCTCTGCTAGAGACTCTTCTCTTCCAGACGCTCTCATGCTCCTGCTTTCTTCTGGTCTGTAGAGTAGTTTCCCCATCATGTTTCTTTATCCTACAAAATCAATTCGATATAAATAAAACAACTTTAAATAAGCAAGCCACTTTTTATTTATTATTATTTTTTAAAACAAATTTATCATACAAATTTGTAACAAATTTTCCAATCATTCGTGCTGTTTTTCTCAACATTTACTAGGGCTGATTTACCCCTTATGGTTTTCTATTTGATTCTTTCCATATCTATCCAGAAGAATTAATAACTTTATCTTCATTCAACTGCTTGTGTGTGAAATTGTTTAAAAAGGATTATTATGACGAAGTCAGCTTGATTGCTTATTATTTACCTTCTCTGTTTGAATAAAATCTGGTAAAGATTACATTTTATATCAAATTTAGTCATTAACACTAGTTACTCTGAATATTTTTCTGAACCGCAGATAAGTGGCCCGGCGACGCATGTGTCACCGCTGTCCTGGAGCTGCTCTCGGTCTTGACGGACTGGCGGGGCGATGGTGATTTCTGCGGAAATTTTGATCCCGTGCAAAACTCCAGGCACAATGAGCGCAATCCGAGCCCTGCCGGCGACGAGGAAAAATTGCAGCATCATTACTGGGGCTGTCTCCGTGTAGTGTCGATGTTGGAGTCGCAACATGGAAACTTGTTTGTTCCACTCATACGCGCATTGCATGTAACCTCTCAAAAACCAAAGTCTTCTACCATGGGTTCCCCGTCAAACCTTTCTACATCGTGGAATTCAGTAACTCCTGATGCTACCTCGTCTTCCAATCCGGCATTAGAACAATGTTACTCTACGGCTCCTGCGTCATGGGAGGAAGCAAATATTGATTATTGCGCTCGTTGTAGGCAAATAATGTCTCGGGTTGGTGTGGAAAAGTCTCGTCTAGTGCTGAGCTCTTCAGCTTCTTGCTTCGTGACGCTTCTTGTGAGCGGCCTCCTCCAGTACCGCTGTCTGGGCACACACGGTACAGCGCCTCCTCTCCTGGTCCTCACCAATGCTTTGGATGAACCGATGATGCTATCATCGGGAGAGGTCAGTGCTGGTCATCAAGTCTTAGCGGAAACATATTATTGGCCCTGCATGCACAGAACAACTAATTGCTCTTATAATGCTATGTTAAATATAGCTCTATTAATCTGCAATTCACTGCTAGGTAATTAACCTAGTTCATTAACAATTTTTACTGCATTTATATTGTTGAGAAACAATTTTGTTGCAGATTTAAAATTTACGACCTAATTTTTTGATTAGAGTGCTTCAATAATACTCGGGGAGCTGCATTTACTAATACGGTATCTTATGTTCTGATGTTCTCTTGGCATTGAAACTAACTTTTGGCGTTCCAAACTTGTATTTTTTAAATTGTTATTGGAATAATCAAATTTTTGTGGTCAAGAATGTTCTTGAACAATCTTCAACGTTTAGCCATCTAAAATAACTGATCGTTCCTTCTAACAAAACGATTTTTTAATGTTAAACTTATCCGTCAGAAATTAAAGTATTATATTTAATCAAAGTGTTTCACCAGCAGACTGTGTATGCAGGCTACGAGTTGGCTCGGCACCTTATCCATTTGATCTCCATGATATTTTCTCCGCTGGCATCCAACGTGCCTCCTTCGACCTTGTCAACTAAACCTGACTGTGCCGCCAAGAAATGTTCTTGTCGCCACGCCGAGACATGGCACGGCGCACAGTACATGGAGTGCCTTAGTCAGCTGGCTGTCGTCAGCGAGTGCGCACGTTACGCTTGCCGTCACCTCGGCCTCATACTGTGGCCTCCTCTCATCAAGCCTTTGGAAGAACTGCCTGTCATTATTCAGAAGAAGTCTGTTCATCTAACTGCCAACTTGCTCACTGATAAGGTTTGTGCTTTTAACCTTTATGAATTCATTTATCTATGTGTCAATTTAGGCTGTGAAAACTTTATTTTCTTAAAAAGAAATTTATACGTGTCAGAGTACGTAATATTTCTTGCACTTCGCAGGACACGCGGATCGCTGCATCACAAGTCTGTCGATGCCTTCGCTTGCTCACGAACGTGCTGAGCGTTTCCGACGATGCGCGTAACCATAAGAGGAAAGAATCACCGAGCGTCAACTGCGTGCATCCTGTTGGGAACCATAATGAAGGATATAAATCTCCTCGCAATTTGGCGGGAGCTGTAGGTGGGGATATCAATGTTAACCTTCAGCTTGGTGCTAGAGGAAATTTGAGTAAAGCAGCTATTAATGGTGCTAGAAATGCTAGCGCTAGAGAACATTCTGATGGCCATCAGGTCTTTAGTCGTCCTGGAGACGCATGGGATGGTGAAGGAGATGATCTGGAGAAATTGGTTCTCCCCTTGATACATCAGATGTGGTTACCATCTCTACACACGCCTCAACTCTTGCGACACGTCCTGCTGCTCTTGGTTGCCTGCACCGGAAGAACTTTGGGTTAGCTTTGTTTTTCAATATTTGCATTTGGTCAGTCATTTGCGAGTTATTAACATCGGCGAGTAATTTTTGGCGGTTTCGAAGTGAAAAACGTGTGATTATAGCTGTTCTTCACCAGTAATATTAATTTAATGACTGATTCATTCAAGTTTTTGAGAGCCTGCAAAAGGATACCTATTGTGGAATGCAGAAGGATATTGTCCAAGCCTCTTTGAATTGACATAATTTTTTGTTCATCAGTGACTGAGGGAATGCTGCACTCGAGCGCCCTGCAATGGTCACTGTTGTCGCCGCAGCGCAGCAGTCGGCCGCTGCTGACGTGCGTCGCACACCTCGCTCTCCAGAACGTCAATAACTTCCTCAAAAACCTTCCTAGCCGCGCTAGTAAACGTCCTGACAAAGCCGCTCAAAGTGAGTCAAGGAAACTTCCTGAAATTTTGAAAAATATTTTCTTTGTTGTTTTTTAATGCTGACTTGATCATATATTTAATTGTTGATGAAAAATTTTAGGCTTTAATAATACTAAAGCATATATATTGAATATTTTATTTAGGACTTTAGGTCAGCTGAGAATCAATCTTGTGATCAGTTTGTAAATTTTGATTTACCTGAAAACGACTATTTTCAATGAAAGCTAATGAGTTAGTGAATCCCGACTTAGTGAAATCGCCGAAAATTTTCAACATCATCGTACTTTCAGGAAGAGAGCAAAGCTCTCCCAGTACCCCTTCTCCTACACCCTTTGTGCGGGGTGCCAACACTACCCTGCTGGGTGGGTGGGTGCCTGTGCCCGACTCCACCACCCTCCTGGCCCTGTATGTCCTCACCCATTGCGCCCGTGCCCCAGAGGGCGCCTCCGCCATTGCTAAGGTGATTTGCTTTCTCGGTGCAAGGGTTCACCGTCTTGGGAATTTTTGTCTTCAACTTTGCTGCGTTTGTATACAAATACTGCAAGTAATGGCTGTACTGTCGCTGCGAACGCTTTAAATGAAGTGTGTATAATTGTATTGAAGTCGATAAACCAACCATCAAATTTAACCCGAAGTTAGAGTGCTGTAAATAGACCGAAACTGCAGTAGCCTCTGACGTAGGTTAAAAAATCCTAGTGAAATTAAGGTAACAGAAGTTTTTTTAACATTGAATATATTTATTACCGATGTTTATAATCTAACCTGATGTAATAACTCCAGCATTTGTCAACTTCTGCATCGCATTTGATTTGAATATGTTGAGAATCAATATAATAATTTAATAAAGAAGCCATGGAAATATTCGTACATGAGCAGACTGGTTGGAAGGTTTCATGGAAGAACCGTAGACCCTAAGGTGATGATGAATTTTGTAACGGGGCGCTGTATACCACGCACATTTTGATTGTTAATTGAATCATAATTAGCAAGAACAATAAACTATCGCAACGCACGGTTTCCCTAAATGTAAGGGACTAACGTTGACCGCAACTATTACCGTGTATTTTCGACGCACGCTTTGTTCCGCGTGGCAGACGCCAAAGACAGAATACGGGTCGGGCTTCGTACCTTTCGTAATACAGAAGTAAGCACTACTTCGCATATCCTAGCTTTAGCCAATACTAATCACCTGGCAGCATTAATCTGAATGAAATGGGTTCAACTGTGTAGTTCAAGCCACATAACAATAATTACTGTATTTTTATAGCCGAAAAATGCAATTGTCATATTATTTCCAGCTTGGTGGACTAGTGAATTCACTGATCCGTGCGTGCGGCGCGTGTAGCCCTGACGGCTGCGACATCCAAGAGGCCGTCCTCAAACTCCTGCTGCTGCTCTCCCTGCACCCTGGCCCGCGTGCCCTCATCGTCAAGGTGTCTAGCACTCACTCGAATTATTTTATGTATTCGATCCAACTGTAGCTATTGGGTAAAATCAATGATTTTGCATTGCTCGGTGTTAGTAGACCCTTTTGTATACTGGCAGTAGAAGAAATTCTGTTATCTGGTGCTTGTATATTTATTATTTTCGTGAAATTTCTTGTAAAGTTCAACCTATAGAATTCTATAATAAAACTGATCGCGTCTGGCGCAACTAGCATCTCGCAGCCACTGAGACTCTTGTACCACTTAGTTTGTCTGCTTTATGCGCTCTCTTTGTTGGCTCTATCAGTGCTCCAGTATTCATATTCAGACGATCAATTTTCCAGTAAAAATTTTTTCGGTAAAATTTGATTTTACTGGAATGAAGTATTGACGGATAAAATATTTTTCGAATTTACCTAAAATGCGGTGCGCCAATATTATGGCGCATTATTTTATTAAAATGCAGTGCACCAATACATATTATGCGGTGCACCAACTACATTGAATCACATGTATTTGTATCGGCTTCATTAGCACATGACACTTGATGCTAAATACTGTTAGCTTGACTTCTCATGCAGAAATGGCAACCACATGCGATCAACAAGTTCCACTCAAATTATTGACCAAACTATCGAGAGTACCTAAAGTTCTAGCCCAACACGGCACTATCTGTCTGACGCACCAATTAAAGTGCGAGACACGCAGAATAGTCATGAATAAAACTAAGCAAGTAATTAGATGAAGTGCACAATAGTTTGACTAAAAGATTTAAGAAAATTTGCACATATCAACTTTATCAATTTGGGGAAAATCGCGATACAAATTCGCATTTAGACTCGTTTCGTCTAATGTAATAACATAATTGTATATGCACTGTAAACAAAAAATGTTGCACACAGTGCCCTGACTGGGTAAGGTGCCTGCACAGCGGCCTCACTATTGGCGGGTCTCCGCTGAACCCGAGCGCCTTGCGCCTCCTGACCAGCCTCACTGCCGCCCCTGGCGCCGTGTCGTCTATCCTCGCTCACGGTGCGATTCTCTTATTTTATTCATGCCTGGGCTTTTGTAGCCTAATGTTTTCTTTACGAGGGTCTCTGATGATAAAGTTGAGTGTTCGTCTGGCTCAAACGTGTGCTGCTAATGATTATGGCCTGTACGTAGAAATTTTTTTAGACAGACCGCCGAATTTTGAGTTATTAACAAGATCCACTCTAAAATTTCATTTATATTTGAATAGTTTGTATCGGATTTACTTTCCTAGTAAGATATGATTGAGCTTGAAAAAATTGTTTGTCTCGTAAGAGGATTTATTGTTTGTCTTTAATGTTTGTCTTTGATGTGTAAAATTTACATTACAACTACGAGAGTTCCTGCCACGATATTAATAAAATTTCGGTCGAAAACGTTGCCATTCTTGGTTTGAGTGTTGATTAAGTTTCCGAACATTGAGTAAAAATTTCGTTCTACTCTCATCGCGTTTGCAATTGTAATGCTCAGGTGGCTTGTTGAAGGACTTGGTGGAGGCATTGTCAGAGTTGTGCGCCTACGATGACGAGACCGACGACGCTGACCAGTTAGATGGCTCGAGGGCGGTGTTAGTTCAATACTCGGCCGGCTACTGCCTCCTGGTGCTGTTGTGGGCCCTCGCGGCTTCAGGGCACCGAGCGCTGCTGCCGCTGCGTCGTTTGGGGGCCTTACCGCTTATGCGCCACCTTCAGGAGACTCTCCGAGAACAATCTGAAGTCCTCAATAAGCTGATATTTTTATTAAATGAGTAATCGCGGTCTCATAAATAATAAAGACCCATCTCATAATAAAGATCTCTTTATTCTGTTCAGATGGAAAACAAGGTTCTGTTGTTCATACAAAACAATTTTTTTCTGTAGCAAATCCTCTTCTTCTATGCTGAAAACTTCTGGGCTAAGAAAGTATCAAAGTTTCGCTGATGAGTTTTGTTACTGCCGTACATGATCTTGGGGCTACGTCTGTTTTCTCGCCACAAAATCTATGGCAGACATGGACTTCCTGTCGTTTAAGTTACATTTGTGTAGTTCGAAGTCCCCTGGATTGATCTCATGCACAGAATATTGACGCATTTATAATGTCACTGTCTGCTAAAGCATGCAGTGGGGTTTTGACGTGGTAACGCCTTGTAGCTTATGTTAAGCACTCCCGTAAATTTAATAAAGCTGCTCAAGTCGAAATATATTAACCATAAGGATGTAGCGTATTCTAACACGCCATGTAGTAGCGCTATTCTAAAACCAAAGATGGCTTGCCAAGTTACCTCTACTAAACCGGCTCAATGTTGCTTTAAAGTATTCATTTTGTGGGATTTCGAGGACCTGGCGTTAAGCTTTATGTCATATAAGCCTGAAAGTGATGATTTTAATATTTGTTGGTTATATTTTTGTACGACGGTGATTTTACCTCCTAAGTCCGCGGCCTTCTAAATTTCAATAAAACATTGTGTTGAGTAAATTTTCTTTGTTTTCCTTTGTGTTTGAAAAAGCTTTGCTGAGATGCTTCCTCAGTGCGTACTGTGCGCTAGAGAATACTTTTATGTAAATCCTTTACTTAAATTGCGAATAAATCGTAATAAAGATTAAAACCATTCAATTTGAACTGCCATTTGAAATATTGGCCATCGGTTTGAACTGCCTTTGCCAACGACTGTAATTGTAGTCCTATTTAATGTCATCGACTTCATTCCATTCAGCACGACCTGATGGGTTTCTTTTGCGTCAATGACGTGATTTATGATGACTGATGGGCTAGCTATTTTGAGTGCCTGACCCAAGTGTTCACTGACGTCAATTGAACAAAAGCGAACAAGTGCTTCTGTGATCGATCTATTGGACGGGAACGTTAGTGCTGGAGGTTTACTTGAACTGAGCATTGACTTCCTTTGTCCAGCGTTGACGATCATTGTTAGATACGAATTGCCAGTCCCGCACACCGATTATTTTGACGAAAAGCGAATGCTGTCATTAATAAAATAAAATTCGTACTGAATTCAACCTTTTCCCAATGACTTGCTTGAGTTTTCTGTATAAATTATTTCTGGCATAGCTTAGTGTGGCTCTTTGTGTGGTGCAAATCGTTTAAATTAGTTCGAGTGGAAAATATGAGCATAGATTAAAGAATTGATCTAGGTTGCTTTGTGTTGAATCTGTCACGAATTTTCCGCGGGGCCGCCAGCACGAACATTATGATGTACATTCTCAACTGGTACAAGGCAAAATTCCACATGATGATGACGATAACCTTTGTTGGATTTTTTAACGTTAAAGCCTGAACTGATTTTAGGAGCGTTGTATTGGTTTAACACTTAAAATACAGTCTTACAGAAATATTAGCCAATTAATCAATGGAAAATATAGCTGGTTCCGCTATATCGTGCAAATGCGGTTATCCTATGCGTCCTTGGAACGGAACCTCGCACTCTTCATAACTTCACAATTTCCACTATCCGTTTCTCCCTCCTCGGTAATTACTTTTAGTAACTGGATTCTTACTTTAAATTATTTCTTATTGAATTACTAACCTTACATTGGATGTGGTTTATGATAGCTCAATTTTCAAGAATGTTTTAATAAAGCGCGTGCATCTGCTAAACCTTGTATTTAAACGAGGCTTTCAAACCATCTACTCACAGCATGTCAACAACTCCAAGCTCATTGCGGCTCAGTGTCAAACAGCCCACACTCTTCACTCACGTTCACTCACTCTTCACACAGCATACAAGTAGTAAAATAATGAAGAATGTCGGTTAAATTACAGGTTGTCATTTAGTTGACTGGTAAACATTTGATTAAAATCCAAAGGTATTTTTTGTTGAACCTGAAAAAAAATTCTACTTGGACATACACACAAGATTGGAAAAACGAACATGACCATCCACAATGAATGATACGAACAGCGGTAAAGAAAAAAAAAACATATTAGTCCCTTAAGCAGCTTTTTCATGGGAACTGTGCAGCACTGATGACAACTGTCGAGCAAGAAGATTATGGATTAAAGATTATGTTAGATGTTAGATTATGGATTAAATAACTCGTTAATCAGTGCGGCTTGCAGAACCAGGCAGATCAATCCCGAAGAGCCGCACTTCTGCACGGTAAAAACATCACGAAAGTTAAAGAAAAGACAATAATTAGTCGAATAATTCCTTTCACGCTGAATAAAACAGAACGATACCTTACCCATAGCTTACCGTTACCCATAGCTTACCGTTACCCATAGCTTACCGTTACCCATAGCTTACCGTTACCACAGAACGATACGTTACCCAAACAAAATTAAGTTCTCTAAAACTGACGACATTAATGAAGAGCTACAAATACATTGCGCGATTATTTACAATTTACCTTAACATTGTTCAGGCGTGTGAGTTGAATTAACTTTTTCGTACCAAGCATGTGAACTTCAACTGTAAAGTCTAAGTTTTTTCTGGGTGCGGAATTCAGCCAGCACTTTACTTTCTAATTACACGTACTAATTATGTATACATAGATACGGTGATGCGAACCATTTAAGTCTACGGATGGCACACTCACTGTTTAATTTGCATGATTATTGATAGTCCAGTCTTGGCCCGTTCTACTCGACAAACAATTCAAATATTCATTGAATTATATTCCATATTCATTAAATTCATTACTGCCTCGAGAGGAATATCTTACCTGCAGCTACTCTTCCGAGAGGAATAACTTACCTGCAGCTATTCCCTCAAAAGGAATATCTTGTCTGCGGCTACTCTACTGAGAGGAATAACAAACCTGTAGTTCTTCTTTCACGAGGAATATCTTACCTGTAGTGTCAGTATTGCTAAGGCCCATTAGCGTCCCTGCATCAGTCAAGCTGTCGTTCGTCGTTGTAGCCGATGCTGCAGTGACACCGCCACTGCTCGGTGCAGATGCAGTGGTCCCGGCAGTCGTTGTTGCAGTTGTAGCAGCAAATGTGACAGTTGTTGCCGCAGATGTGGCAGTGGTTGTAGCAGTATCTGCAAGCATCGCCGTAATTGTTTGTCCGATGGTAACTCGGGTCGTGGTTTCATCACTGTTACCTAAGATTGTAGCGGCGGAGATTGATGTTGTGGCCATTTGTGTTGATGTGCTGACAGTTGTTGCAGTGGACGTTTGACCAGGTACTGTTGTGGTAGTTTCAATAGCAACATTCACTGGAATAGCTGCTGCTGTAGTTGCTGGATCTTGTGTTTGGACGGTTGAGGACGCTGGAGTCTCAGAGATCGGAGCCGATGTAGTCTCGGGTGTGTTATTCAGCGATGTTATTGATGACATTACAGCGGTGGCTGGGGCGGTAGTTGTTTCTGTTGCTGGTGGTTTTGTTTCTGTTGCTGGTGCCGTTGTTTCTGTTGCTGGTGGCTTCGTTTCAGTTACTGGTGGCGTTGTTTCTGTTGCGGGAGGCGTTGTTTCTGTTGCTGGTGGCTTTGTTTCTGTTGCTGGCGGCGTTGTTTCTGTTGCTGGAGGCGTTGTTTCTGTTGCTGGTGGCTTCGTTTCTGTTGCTGGTGCCGTTGTTTCTGTTGCTGGAGGCGTTGTTTCTGTTGCTGGTGGCTTTGTTTCTGTTGCTGGCGGCGTTGTTTCTGTTGCTGGATGTTGCTGGAGGCGTTGTTTCTGTTGCTGGTGGCGTTGTTTTTGTTGCTGGAGGCGTTGTTTCTGTTGCTGGTGGCTTCGTTTCTGTTGCTGGTGGCTTCGTTTCTGGTGCTGGTGGCGATGTCTCAGCAGTAGTTTCTATTGCTGGTGTTGTTGAAGTCGATGTCACCGTTGTTGAAGTCGTAGAAAGCGTTGTTGTCGTCGTTGGAGTCGTTGTTGTCACACCACAAGGCGTGTCGACAAGACTCTTCACGTCAGCTGTAGTCCCAGTTGAAGTGATTTAGTGTACGTTGGTGGGCAAAATTTAGCACAAATGATCATCATTTTTCAATTGAAAAAATAACGGAGTGCACGTTTATTCAAGTTAAATATAGACAATGTATTGCAAAGTCGGCTCGTTGCAGAAAACGAACCTAACTAGTCAATTGGGTTGCCTGTCGGAGGGCGGAGGCCACCACTGCCCAACTCCGCATGGACTGACATGATGCCTTCCTCCAATAGCGTGGCTCTCAACATTTCTGGACTATCACATCGACTGCAAGCCACACAAGCCAAGCCGCAAAGGACCAACCAAGGGTGGTTGGTCCCTTGTATTAGAATTAGACCAACCAGCCTTCAGCAGCAAAACCAGTAATGGTATTGCCAAGCATAGGCAGCCTACGCGAAATATTATTAAAACGGTCAGACAACGCGCGTTGGATTCTTCCATCATTCTTCTTTCACACCAACCTGCCGCCAGTATTCAACCTTTGCATCGAATCAGCCCACGATCAAACGGCCACTCATGGCAAGATGATTAATTTTGGAAGCTAAATTTACTATCTGAAATCTAATTTCCGAAGCTGTTTGCTAAAAGGAACACAATTTAACGATCTTACAAGTTATATTATAACCTTGACAAAGAACGAGCGTCACACCTGGTATGGTGTAGAAGTTGTTGAAGAAGTTGCCTCCGCATGTCTGACAAGGGTAGCCCAGGCAGGGGTTGACACATTTGTCGGGTGCGATGTACAGGTCGCTGATCATCGTGTTCCCGCACCAGCAGTTCGAACTGCTCGCGATCCAGTCAACCATGAAAATAATTGTTCTGTGGCTGCGGTAGTGTCATCAAATAAATAATAATGATCAATGCATTTATTACAACAAGTAATCCTTTCAATGCATCTCTATAATACGTTATTAAGCTGAGGCTTGTGAGCATGTGTGCTGAGTATAAAACTTTTTGTTTCGAAGTTTGAAATACCCGCTGACTAAACGAATTATTGGCTTTCGACCAAAACACGTAAGTTGGAAGCTACCAAAATTGGACGCTTAAATAATGTAAATAAAGTTAAGATTGAAGCAATTTGACAATGCTTGTGGATTCATTATTGTTGATTTGTAAAATACTTATTGGCCAATGAACTTAGCTGAGCTCGTGGCCAATAGTTTTGGTTCCAATGAACCGGTGTCCTTTTCGTAAATTTTTCTGAAATTGCATGAATTTAAATTTGGGGACTTCATTTTAAATTCATACATGAATTTAAATTAATGTATGAAGAAAAAATCTTTAATAACATTTATGTTCACGAAACAACAAAGTGTAGTGTCGTATCTAACGATGCCGATATTTTCAACAATGGCTGGACCCCATCAATTAACTTATAAAATTTTACTAGGAACACCTCTAGATTGTTGATGATTCTTAACTGATTCATGGCATACCCAAATTCTGGCGCTGCGTACTTGTATCCCAATCCATAGCAGTATTTCATGCAGATTATAGGCGAGTTCTCCGTTAAGAACTGAACGCCGTATGGGAAGAAATAAGTGCCTTTTGACCTGTAGTTCTGGACGCACGTGCCGTCGGTGATGGTCCCCATTGCCGCCGGGACCGCCAACAGAAGCATTGCAACTGCAATCCCTTTAAGAAAATTGATGCCGTGGGCTGAAATGAAATAAAACCACGGGGCCGCCAACAGAATCATTGCAACTGCAATCCCTTTAAGAAATTGATGCCGTGAGCTGAAATGAAATAAAACCACGGGACCGCCAACAGAAGCATTGCAACTGCAATCCCTTTAAGAAAATTGATGCCGTGAGCTGAAATGAAATAAAACCACGGGGCCGGCAACAGAATCATTGCAACTTTTATCACTGTCTACAAAATTATCCAGAGAGCAAATAAAATATAAAACTTTTATTCAAACGCGAACCAAAAACCTTGGTTAGGTTCTTCACAAAATTCATAAAAGAGTGGTAATACAGTCTTCTTGAAAAGCTGTAACGGTCTGTAAAATTTATTCGACTCAAGCCTTCAGACAATTTTCAAGCATATGGTTTAGTATAGAAAGAAGCGAGAAAAAAAAACAATCATTTGCAGCTGATCGAAAAAATGTTTGCTCATGAGTACGTAATTTTTGTATTGAACGCTAATCATTAAACCAGCTCTTGTGAATTGACTGATTTTATTAAATTAATTAAGCAAATACGTGAGAGAGAATATGAATGTACAGCGATTTGGTAGGCTAATAAGTAATTGCCATAAATTAAATTAATAACCTAGAACTGAATTGAATTCATCATCAAACTCAATAAGATATTTATATTCTTTACGACACTCAAACATATTGAAATCCACGAGTTGTCCAGGATTTGCTTTTATGCTAGCTAAATTTAACTGCAAGATTACGAATTATTGGAGAGGCAAGCATCCCACTTTATAGATTAAAACAAAAAAAATGTGCAGAAGACAACCAAATCAATCAAACAATTGAAGAAAACAATAAAAAAACAATCCAAGAAAAAAACAATCCAGTCGAAGGATTGTTTTTAAGATCTCCTGTGTGCAAGGACAATAGGATCTCCTATTAAGAATTTAAGATCTCCTGTGGACAAGTCACGAAAAGTACAAGAATCGGCAACAGGCCACATCAGGCCTCTATTTCAGCGCCAACATCGCTGATATGATATGAATTTGTGCAAACCTCAGCACCATGTATCGAGATGTTTTTTTCAGTTATTTTACTCCGTTGTATCACTTTACACAATTAATTTATTTCAAATGCTACTGCTTCCATGTTAATATCAGTTATTTACTTATTTACAACCTACTTGAATTTTTATTTGAATTATGATGCAAGCTCACTACTCACCCATATTGATTTTTGACGACTTCACTTTTCGTTTTCAATTACACACGTCATTTTCTCTAAGGAATGGAATCCTATACATACACTTGCATTGGTAGTAACTATTTAGGAAAAGAACGTACTTTATAGTGTGAAAAAACGTTTCTCAGTGTAATTTCGAACTTAAATCATTCATTTCTACTTTATTGCGATTAATACTTTCACAACTTCAATATTGGCCATTCCGTATTAGAAAAAACTTTATATACAACACATTTATTCAAATTAAAAAATTTTTCATTAAACTTCTTTATTGAATATTGATGATGGAAATACCAGGTCCATCACCAGTTCTAAACTGAAATAATACGAGAATAATCAGTGAACTGACTAAAAACATTTGACAAATATTAAAACTATTTTTATTCGTGATATCGATTAAACCAGTTTTCGCTAATTTTTAAACTGATAGCAAGGTTGATACCAGAAGCGATTTAAATTAAACGAAGGTATGTAGTAGATTTTTTGAAAATCTTGGCTTTTAAATTCTTATAAGATGAAGTGTTTGAGAAGGTATGATTTTGTATCCACCTGTACATCGCTTTACCTCGACGAGTCTTGCTCTGCTATACAATCTTGTTCAATTGGTCTCTTATATACTGTACATGCTCAGATTTTCGTTCAGTGGCTGACAATACGGTTTTAGCCGTGTCTATATACTTAGCGCAAATGACCGACCTTTGTATGACCGAAAATCAATGAACGAACAATGAAGTTCACCAGCTATAATGATTGAATCACGATTGGGGACTAAGACTTCTTTAGGTCTGAATATTAGAAATCAATTATTTCAAACGAAAAGTACATGGAAGTCTTTGCTAGATTGCAATTCAATGCAAGTTCATCTATGACTAGCGGATAATAAATAACTAGATGCCAGAGTGATTTATTAGAAAATAAGTATAAGTCACATTCATGTCACATATGTTGAATTTATCTCACAATAACACTCAAATTACATTTCTTGCCTTCATGAACCAAATCCATACATGTGTAGGGCGTGCTCCGATTTTACGAACTTTACTTTATTCTCCTTATTTGGCTGCTGAATAACCGACACATTTTCAAGATTTCAGGACGTTCAATTAGTTGTTATCCATATACTATTTATAAAATAAGATGTAAAACGGATTTAGCTGTAATGATGAGTTTTAGTTTTTCAAAATTGAGACTGTCACAAAGTGTCACTCAGTGTCAAGTTAGCAGCCAATTTCAAGCGTCCGGCTTACTAATAAAATATAGAAATAGAAACAGTCTTGAAGATGATTCGCTCCACTCTTTGACCTTGGTAAACCTCAAGGTTGACCTGTGGCTGTAAGTGCGCACAGCGTGTACAACAGGGATAAAAGAAGTATTGAAGACGGCGGTGCGCCTTTTTTGTTATTATTTCATACATATATACAACAGATCTTTGAAAAGAAAAAATTCCATATTTCAGCTTTTCCCTAAAAAATTCTGGTGAAATAGACTTGGTTAGTTTGCGCTGCACTGCACGACTGCAGACGTGCAGAGTGCAGTAATAATGACTGCAGTTGGTTGGCACTTGTCTAGTTTGACATTTTCACCAAAGGCACAGTGTTAGCTTAGGCTAGCCACTTTTACACTCTTTTCTTTTATATTAAATTTTCTTTTTAAGTTAGGGCTATACTGCTTCTGCAAATATGCACAATAATTTCCAATCTTGACTAGCCTATTTAGAAAATTAGAATACCTACCTAATGGGCATGCCGCATGGCCCCACATGGCTGGCATGGGCAGTATGGGCACTGAGTACTCTCAAATCTCAATACTACCATGAGTACTGAGTAGCAGGGCTGGAAAAGTCCTATTTTTTTCTGAAATATTGCAGCTCCTGAGCTCTAATATCATAATTTTAGTAGGTATGAAATCTTGCGGCTCTCAGTGGCAAAGCAGAGTTTTTTATGCTCTGTCTGAAGTTCATTTTTGAGTCCTATAAGTAGACCAGTAAAGTATCATGGATACCAGTATTAGCATACTTAAGAAATTGGTTAAAATCTTGAGTAAATGAGGAAATTAAAAATGAACTGATTAAAAAAAATCTCTAGTTTAGCCTATCACTATGTAGGTCTTACCGTCTTAGTAATGTCATAAATTTTTGTTTGATGGAAAAATTGTGGTTTGCACTTTGCACTTCGCAAACATGTTGTTTAATTAAATTTTCAACTGTTGCAATCCACATATATACTTCATGGCTCCCGTTTCCTGCCAAAATAACATGCAGAATGTAATAACAAGTCTATTCAAATTCTCAAAACATTTCCTCCATGTCCCATTAAGATTGCGTAGAGCTAGTTGCAGTACCTAACGTCAGAATGGTCATACTGCATTTAGTGCATTAGCCTATCACTTTTACAGTGCCACTTAAGTGAAGACAAATGCTAGTGACTGTTTTTTGTATGACACTTTGTAAATAACATGGGTGATGGTTCTTTGTATCAATTGTATGCATGGGAGTGATGTGATGGGACTTTGTGAATCCTAACAAGTTCATGGGTCATAAATGGCTTTTCACAGCTGAGATATCAGATATGGAAATCATGATTCAAAGAAATGGAATCATGGCTGGCATTTGGCACACCCCCCATGCATAGTGACATAGCAGAGAGTTTTTTAGACTCCCTCAAGTTCATTTTTGAGTCCTATAAGTAGACCAGTAAGGTATTGTGGATACCAGCATAATCATACTTAAGAAATTGGTTTAAATCTTGAGTTATTGTGGAAATTAAAAGTGAACTGATTCCAAAAAAAGCTCTGGTTTGCCACTATGCCCCCATGAAGCCAGGGCTCAAAGAAATGGAAACACGGCTGGCAAACCCATGAAGCTACAACTTGAAAAATTTAGTCATGGCTTGCCAGGTAAATATATTCCATGCCTGCTGAGTAGAATAAAAAAAATGTTAAAATTATCAGTTTGCATTGATTTCCAAAAACTGTTGGCAAAATTGCCCCTAAAGTAGAGGCTACAGTCTACAGATTTCTGAATGAATCTAGAATTCTAGATTAGCATTTATGAGAAAATAACCTATTGGGTTACAAAAAATCCATCTGAAAACAAATTTGTAAGATCATTATTATCATTGTTGCCATTTTATAGATGTTGTAAAATAATATAGTTATTATAATAGTCAAACTGTCAAACGTCAAGCCTCAAATAACCCATGGCAGTTTTAGATGTAGGAAAACCTTTCTGGTAATTGGTATGACGCTTTATAAATATTTGTATTTCTAGGTTCTCTAACTTGCTCCACAGTCATTTAGGAAATGCGAGCCATCACAATGGAATGAAATGAAAAATGTGACTGACTGACTGCCAGGTCACAAGCCTATAGTTATACAAGTGTAAGAAATGTGGGAGCAAAATCCATAGACTTTTATCTGTTTTGTCTTTTTGCCAGTTGAGTTCTGTTACCTCAAATAGTTGAATCCTAATATATATAACAAAAAAGGCTGGTAAGTGGCAATGGAAAAGGAATATCTAACCTTTTTTGGTATAGGTATATTATTTTTTATGACATAATGCTGTCAGAGAATTGTTTGCAAGAGGGTTATTTTCTGCACACAATGTTTTTTATGAGCATGTGTTTTCTTAAATTTTACACAACTTAACTTCCAAGATAGGAAGAACTAGCATTACAAGCCTGGCAATTCTGTAAAAGTTATGGGGAAAAAAAACTGAATATTAACTTTGCTCCCCTCATTTCAGACAGATTACTGTTAGGCTGTGCTGCTGTTAGTTATGACTAATTTTTTCTAACTCATTTTAGGACTTTAGAGTTGTTTAACTTGTTTTGTGCAAATAATATCATGAATGAGGCTGTATTCTTTAGTTTATAAAGCAGGCTTTATAATTATAGGTATTTGGAAAGGGACATATGTCAGTTTTTAAACCATTTTGAGAAACTAATATATTAAAATTAGATTTGAAATGAAGTTTCAGCATAAAGATGATATAAGGCTACTATAAAATGAGTAGTAGACAGTACACAGTAGATACCAGTCATCACTATGAAGTTCATTTCTCCCATTATGCTATGTTGAAAATGATCAAAATATCTCTCAAAAATTCAGAGAACTTGAAAAATTTCAGAGTGCACTTTGTTATGAAGGAGATATTTACTTATACTGGTTAGTTTTTTTCAGTTTTATATCATTGTAATATGTCTTAATTGACTAAAGATCAAGTTAAAGGCCTAGTCATAATTATAATATTATATGGATTTAAAGGTATTTTTAAAACCAAAATTGAAGTGGGTGTTTTAAGAGGTCAGCACTATGTATATAATGATATTTATATATTATGTGTGAATTTTGAGAACATTCCAGGAAGATTCTAAAATTTTTCACATTGTGTTTGAAACAACCAACAACCATTTACTATGGTAATGAGCTATAAATACTGATAACATTTTCATCTACAATAGGGTATTTTGGTACCTCACAGGTTAATTGCTCTAATATTTTGTTTCATAGTTCTATTAAATATGTGTTTTTTTCCTAAAAGCATTTGAAAATTCTAAATAAGTTGTCTTAGAATTTTTTATTTTTATTTCAGCTACAAAATATCAGTTGAAGTAGTTACAGAATGAACCATGGCAGTTAGGCAGCTTGCTGTTCAAAAGCATAGTTTGCCTACACCAAAATCAGGCAAGCAGGACACGGTAAGTATAATTTATATTCATTACAATTTTGTATAACAATGTGAATTTTTGTAACAAGATTTTGTGACTGAGTGAAAATTGATTAGTTATTAATCTTGCAGAGAAATGTACCTTATTGTAGTATTGATTAAAGACTTGAAAATCTTTATTACAATTGTTTTCAAAATAGCTTGCAATATTTTGTATTTTCTGGATAGTCATTTACTCTTTTTCTTCTGTAATTCATACTTCATAGGTAAGAATGCCCAATTCGATTTTCTCTGACCATAATCTGATGGCAAAGTTGAATTTTGAGTTGATTAGCCGTTAGATGACTAACGTACAGGAGACCACAGCAAGCATTGTAATTTTATTATTTCTTGTTATTTGTTAATGTTTGATATTGTCAACAAATTAGTTGGTATTAATAGCTTTACTTGAATTTCTGTCTGGTTCTCCAAAAGCAAGTCCTTAAGGGTAGAACATTGAAATCATTGAACAATTTAACATATTTCTAAAATAAAAATACAAATTCTTCATTAAGTGATGGTTTCTGCTTATGCATGGGATTCTAAAATTTCTCTTTGCCATCTTATTTCAATTTCAGAGGGCCAATAGAAGCTCATTTTGTTGATCTTATGTTTGAAATGGTGTGTTTGAAATGCATTTCTATTAATTATTATGTTTGTTTGGCACTGGCAGTAGTAAAGATTATCATTTATAAATATTGCAAAAATAACTTTGACAGTACTGCATTTTGGAAGGTTAAAACTACCATTAGGCATGCTTTTTTACTAGCATGACTAGTTTCTTAACTGATCTTGAATATTCACGTAAATGCTGTACTATCATGTTGAGATTCAATAACTATCCTCAACATAAGCCTTCTTAGTACTCTTGACATTGGGTAACTGTTTGACATTCTTTATATCCAAAGTCCAATGACTGTGAGTTGACTTTTGTTTTTGTTACAGTGGTGTGCACTCTTCCCAAAGGATGTTAAAACTGAACAGAAAAGTTTGCAGTTTGTGAAGAAACTTCTTGCTGTGGGCATTTCAACTCTCACATATTTGCGAAACCTTTTTCCTGAGGTATGCAATAAAGAGATAATTTATTAATATTAGCTTTGACAGTGAGTGCAATAATTCCACAATTAATGGAAATTTTAACAACACCTTTTTTATTTTCTTAGACTTGATTATTATCTTGTAAGCTTCTGTTATTGACAAAATTTATAATATAGGTATGTAGGAATTTTTTGCAGTTTATTTTCTTAAGACTGATAATCTTGCAGACAGCCTACAGAGATCAGAATTGTGAGGGCCTTGATCTGAAGATCTTGATAACGGATACAGATCCGGATGTAGCTCCTCTCATCGACTGGATCAGTGGAGCTTTTGATGCCGTAGATAAGAAATATGTGAGTAAGATCTTGAATCATTTTTTTGTTCACTGACGTTTTGTTCAATTATTACAGGTATGTATTACTGATATCTTGCACTACTACATTACCTATCATCAAAACTTTCAATTTATTTTAATTTTTCTGCTAAGTTTTCCAAATACTTGAAGCAGTGTTCCTTTCTAAGTAATGAAAAATTTCTATTAACATGGTTTATTATAAATTTATGATTGTTTTACTGGCAGCTTCGTCAACTGACACTTGCAATCTCCTGCAACAAGAATCCTGATGACCCAGTGCTGGAAGAGTACTCCTTCTTCTTCACATATGGAGATGATGGATCTGCATCATTGAATGCTATCTCTTCCTCCAACATCAAGTAAGGCATACTTTTTTCCAACTATCTGGCTATAGGGGCCGCGATTTTATTGGGTGATAATAATTATTCTGTACGTAAAAAACTGCAATATTGAGAATTGTGCTTGGCTTGTCTTGAAATTGATTTCATTATGAAAAGGGGTTGTTATAATTTTGCTTTATTTACTAATGTAAATAATAACAATATTAATTATTAATATTGCAGAACAACTTGCGATGGAAGATCTGGCAAAAAATTCTCCAAGCATGAGGTTCGCATGTGCACGAAAAAGTTACTCCGATCCATCATTATTCTAACTCAGACTATGCCTTTGCTGCCCAAGAAAGTCTATATGACCATGCGAATTCTATACTACGATGAAGGCAAGTATCAAGTGAAAATGAGAGCAAAGGAAGCAAGCTGAGATTTTCATAGCATAGTTTGGATGTCATAAAGGTTGTAATTGTTGATTATCGTTTCAGTTTAAATAATTGATAACTATTGCCTCTTTGAGCTTTCAATATACTCCTATGTGAAATGGTACTTATTAATTATTAATCAATTAGAGGATTCTTGAAGTTCAATTGTTGAGTAGAAACTTATTAATGGCCCGTACTATTGGCAGTATACAATATTATGTGATGTAATTTGGGTGCCAGGTATATAATTATTACGGTAGTTTTCAAATATGTCAAATTAGAAAATATTCTTAGCCGTTTACCTCTACCTGCATTGTTAACAGTCACTCCTGCCGACTACGAACCCCAGGGCTTCCGTAGCACCACCATCAGCAGCTATAGTTTCCCGTTCGAACCTGCCGTCTTCACGGTACGAAATAACAAAATTGACTTTATTTTTATTCGTGAGGTTTTCATTATTCCCAACTTGAATTTCATTTCTTTATTATATTCAAATACCTGAAATTATTATTGCCTTTCACAAAATGTCAAAATGTTTATTGTATACCGAACCGTACACGAGATCAGATGTAGATAGTTAATGGAGCATCGAATTGTGGGTGACCTTTTACCTGGGTGTCTGCTCTCCTGTTTCCTCACCTCCTCACAATATTTTAATTCAAATTGCTGTACATTTTTCTCAGCATCCCTTTTATTGACATTTTTTTAATGATACCGATGAAAGCGATTTCTAACATTTTTTATCTAAACTTTGCCAGATGGGTAAAGTGAGCACTGGACACCACTCTCTGACTGTGAAATTGCGCGTTGCCGACGAGCAATTTCCTGGTGACCCTTCCCAATCTCAGGTACGTCAAGCTTTGGTTTGAACCTCATCCTGTAGTGATGTACGTACATATATTGATAGCTGTTTCTGGTTATTATATGAACAAGGCAGATGGTGAAAACTTCTTTCCTTCAAATTCCGGACTTCGGTCCGGAATAAGAACAAGGCAGGGGTTAGATTTATATCCAATGATTTCAAGTTAATGGAAATGTAGTATTGCTTGTTGTCCGTTTAGCATTTCAATTAAAGATAAATTTCAGGAAACGTGAACATGTATATAACGAATTTGATGTAACTTAAGTATGTACGTTAATTTATTTCATGTTGCCATAGCATAATAGTAGCGTTGGTATTTGGATAGCAAAATATTTAGGTAGTTTACTTTTCCTGAGAATATTTTGTGATGAATATTTTCTAGTAGAAATATAAGCCTTAATCAATTTACTGCCTATGGATCTGTTCCATTTTCATTAGATCGAAAAAAATTATTTTTTGATGTAAGTGCAATTTATGGTTGAACAACAGGATACAGGGAGTAGCCAAGAAGCTGCCGATGGACCAGCTGCAATTTTTGCGGTTGTTGCTGCTGTGCCAGACTCGAATCATCTCACCACAGTTACAACTACCATAACTGCTTCGCCTGCTGCTGTTGCAGCTGCTTCTTCTTTGCCTGCTGCTTCGCCTTCGTCTGCTGCTATTCCTTTGTCTTCTGCTTCTCCTTTCCCTGCTGCTGTTCTTTCTACGGATGCGGCGGTGCAGTTGGAATCGCCAGGTACTCCCTGTTATACTTACTATCACTCGAAATGTTTATTGAATGTTCTTAACGTAATAGTGTGTATAGTGTGAGCAGACTTTTTATAATGTTTTGATTTTTACATGCAACTTCCAAGTCAATAAATGTTTCTTGTAAATTCAAAAGTACTTTTGATGATAGAAATGGATCTACAGTTCTACTCTTACCATTCCATTAAATGTATTCTAAGACTTGATCGAAGAATATGACGTTACAATACAAATTTACACCCATGATGGCAAGCCGTAATCGAATCATTTAGCAATATGTTTGAATTTCTTCCAAACCGAAGGTGACCCGAACGCTACCAGCACGCCTCTGTTGTCGTCTTGCTTGTCGCTGCCTTCTTTAGTAGACAACCCTCGTCTTGATGCGGAAATCTTGGCAACTGCCTCTGTTGGTTGTACATCAATCGCGCCACCCGACGTTAGTTTGAACGCAAACAGAGAAGTTAGCACCAACGACGAAACTATTGGAATATCGATTGCTGGACGAGAAAATATGAATTTGAATAGTTCTGTCATTTTGATGGACATTGGACCATCAGTTGAAACAAATAACGGGCCACGTGCAATGGAAGATGATGATTCAGATTGTATCGTGGTTTCTGGAGGCTACGATCGGAATATTAGAAAACAAAGCCAGGATTTTGAAACAAATGCGGATGGAAACTTCAGGCGTTCGACGGGTCTCCGTCGGTGCAAGAGCAACTTTTGGACCAGCCCTCTCTCTTTGGTGCCGTGTCTCAGCAAGGAGAAGCCTCTTAATGTTCCCAAAGGTAATGTTATAAATGTTATAGGTTCTCGTGATTTTTGAAGGATGTAGTTTACGAGACCTTTGAGTTTATTTTTACCACTATTCTTATCTTTTTCTTGCGCTAGTCATTTGTTTTTGTCGACATTTAGCTTTCGTAAATCCAATGAATATGTTGCTATAGATTAATTTTAATTTTTGTACTTGTAACCGTTTATTATTGTTGTCAACTAAATTCTTCATGCTTTTCAGCGTTGTTATTACGGGTTTATTTGACTTTTACATTCAGTAAATTTGGGGTAACGAAAGATACTTTTTTGACACTATCGTTTTTGTTCCTCTTCAGGATCACAGGAACAACAAGTACCGTGCGTTGTCACCGACTCGAACGCCGGCTCCTCAGCCACCAAACAGAATGCTCCTCTTGACGATGGTGGCTGTTCTTCTACTTTGAGCGAGTTTGCGGTCAAACTCGAACATCCTCAAGCGGCGACAATCCAAGATGTAAAAACTATTGACCTTGTCGAAAACGACTTCAGAACCGGAAGTCCAATGACATCTGGTGAAGTAGAGCTGAACAAAGTTCAACAACAACTCCCCAATAAAAGGGAGCTTGGTGAAGGCGATGAGACGCCACTGCTTTTCTCTCTTACTTCAGAGGAAATTGGGGAGCCGTTAGATTCGAAGGAAGGTGTCAAGTGCTCCGAGTCGCCGATCTTAAACGAAAATTTATCAGCCTCTGTCACCCCGTACCACACTCCCTCTCTGAAAGCCCCCGGATCTGGTGAATATTCTTGTTAAACATTTAGTTCTTATCTATTTAGGTGAACGCTCTTAAAATTTGTTTCTGTTGTTAAAATTTTGATCCTAGCAAGATTATTCTAGCATTCCTCACATACTAGGTCAGGTCGATCATTTTAAAGCAGAATAAATCCAAGTTTAAACAATATAATCACCTCCCAAACCCGTTTTATAGATCACCATTTACATATTTGTTGGTCTTTGTCAGCGTGTTCGGCAGTGTCGCAGTGCAGCATCCGCAGCGTCTCTGTTGCACTCGCTCCTAGCCAGCCCAGTCCAGGCTATCCAGTCCGCTGTGCCTGTCTCGCCAACGTCGATCATGGCCTCATGATCCTTTGCGATGTTTGCGGCAACTGGCAACATGGCGTGAGTTCCCTCTGTTATCTTGTATGTGCATACATGTGAAGTATACGTTTCAACAAACAATTATTCCAGTTGATGCTATTTTCATTTGTTGTGCGTTAACCTCAAATGGTTACTTGACAGGCGTGTTTCGGTATCATACGCGCTGAAGATGCTCCAGAACGACACGTCTGCCAACTGTGCTCTGATCCGCCTGATCTATGCACTGACCCACGCTTGTGCTACTTGTCCAGCGTGAAGGTAGCATTGTTCTCAAAACCCTAACTTGCCATCGAATTTGAGACAAAATCCATGTTTGCTCTTCTATTTTCCTTAAAACTCGTGTTTTTCTGCATACTTATTTTATTCAATTACATTCGTTGTAATTGAAAAAGCTGCCGTATAGTCTTTCTTCAAATGAACATCTAATTAACTTTCATTGTCCATGACTCTCAGTTTCGCGTTTATCTTTGTACAAGAAATATCAAAGGATACTTCATCTCAAGCCTGCATAGATGATTTATTATACCTACTATTGAAATTTATAGGTATTTTAACTATAAGCATTGTTCATGTGTAGCGTATTAATAATAAATATGTATGAATTCATGGTTTGCAGCTGGAAGAGACGTGTTTGTTTCGACGCTGCGTAGCCATGCTGCGAACGACCGACGTCAACGCCAACACGGAGCTGAGCACCGTCGCGCTGGCGCACAGCCTGCAGTGCGATATCTCGAAGGCAACTTTTGTCGTGGAGCAGCTCATAAACGCTGGTGTGCTCAGCACAGTTAGGAACTCTGCCAGGCGCAGCTCGGCCAAGTGGGTTCATCTCCAATGATGAAAAATTTCCCCTCCTTCTACCGACATTACTCTCGGTTTAGCTAGTTGTGTCCATTTTTTTCAAACGCACGTATCAATAAAGGCCTAATTAGTGAAACTGGAAATTAGAAGAATTTTCCACCCGCTGATGCTTAATTATTGTAAACGCCTGTATTTTTCTTTTTTCGCACTCTAATGACGAATTATATTTCAACTTTCAGAAAGTTAATTGTGAACACAGAAACGCTGGAGAATGAGGCGGTGCCTAAGTTCTTCGGGAAGCGGAGCTCCCAAGTTAGTGACACTATAAAGCCGAGATAATTTTCTGACCTTTATACGTCAGCATAAACAGAAGTTAATTGATCTTATATGCATAAAATATTATGAGGCATATCAACGATTATGCCACTATTAATTAGTTACTGTGTAATGCATCTATGTGATGATGTATTAACGCTGTTGAGGGTCAGTCAAGAACAATTTTAATTATGTTTCAGAGATTGGAAAGCGAGGAACCATTACCTGTCGAAGAATCGGCAACAGCAGGGACTTCTCAAGAATGGGCGCCGCGGCCAAAGAAGATTAAAGCATCCATGTCGACAACGGTGATGGAAAAAACCCCTCAAGCCAAGCGATAGAAAAGAAATTTGCAACATGAGTGCTGCTGATTGATAGAACGGATTAATATGTTGAAATCATAGGTTGAAGGTTTTGTTACAGGAATCTCTTAAGACTGATATCAAGAGGAAGCTTATATTATTTTACAAAGGAAGTGATCTTATTTTATTTGATAACGTAGAGATAATAAACGCGGCTTTGAGTTATCAAAGAATAGACTTTAAAATATCGTAGATTTAGCATAACTATAATGAATAAACTATTCACTATATATAAGTGAAAGAAAAGACTTCGTGATCTGCAAACGTTTTATATTAATAGTCAAGTATGTTACTAGAGTCGATAGAAAGTAAGGACGCCATTATTACTATTAGATTTAAACATGCTGGTTTTTGAACATTTTATTGTTAGCATTTGAACATTCTATAGTACATTCATTTTTAAGCTACGTCTTTTCTCTGACCAAACATTGCATTATTAGAACTCCGACTATTACAACATCAGTGAAAACCACCGCGCATGTGTCTACCACCTCTATCTCCATAGCCCCCTGGAGCTCCACGTGCAAACATTCCTCTGCCACGCATAAATCGCATGCCCATTCCTCCGGGTGTCTGAGGGCGGTATTGATTACTGGCCATTGTCATGGGCCCACTTCTGATGACACCATCGCCCCCTCTGAAGTTCCAGCGCATACCTCGGTTCATCATACCTGGGACATAACAAGAATTATTTATCATAATGTTTTAAGTGACCTTCGTTCCAGCTGCAACTTTGAAAAGGATGTGTCCCTGTTAATACAATTTCCCTTAGCTTGGTCGTCCGAAATCCTCTATTGGTTACACATTTGATGCGGTCGTAGATAATGTCGATTGACATTAAAAATGACTTGGGAAACACACCTATATCGGTGTTGTTTTTTGACAATTGAAAAAATTTCAAATAGCCAATTGTGAATAATGATGCTGCCATTGCCTTATTGATAGGGGCTCTGAGAAAGGCGTCTCTTGATTTTTATTTATTTTTTTGTCGGAACAAGTTCAATGGCCGATTATCGGCCAATAGGACCCACCCATGGTTTTGAACTAACGTACAGACTGATTTGATAGGATTAATTAAGAGGCCAAGGAAGAAGACGTCGTGCTGTCATGACGTGAACCGAGAGAGAAACGTCCGTAACAGGGGGGACTACAAATTAACCGCAGCATTGTTTTGCCATAAGAGCTTGATTATAATTTTATCTTCAGTCAGCTCAATGCCTGATATCTTACACCTTGCAATGATGTTCCGTCGAAAAATGAGAACGGTAGACGACTCATCAGATGGTAGTTACATTCTTCAATCAAGATTTTATTGACTCTTAATAGTAAATTTCATGCTTTCAATTCACATTATTCGCACATTTCTTTTACCTAAGAATTCCTTAGCAACGAATTTCTATAACTATAATCTTCTAACCTCTGTTGTTGAAGTCTGGTCTGTACATGGGCCTGTACATGAACCGACCGGGCATGGGCCCTCCTCTTCCATCCCCTCTGGTCATGCCACGGCTCCCTCGCCCTCGCATGCCATCCAAAATCATCTGTGGGAACGAGTGTATTGTATAGTAGTTAATTAGGTATCATTGATACATGAAATGTAAGCCTGAACTCCCATGGCTCACGTTTCCATCAATATTTAATTTTTCGTTGCAAGGAAACATCACAGATTACAGAAAATATTCCAGAGAAAATTCGTCGTTCAAACTCGTTATCACAGCAACCACAACAATGAAAATAAATGCTCACTTTTCCGCGACCGAACGATATCCTGTTGTATCCCGTTGGTCCTGTGGGCTGGTGTCCCGTGCTCTCTAAAGCCACAAAATCGTCTACATGCAAAGAAGGTGGACGAGAAGTGTTTGGCGGACGGCAGCGGAATGGGTCCGAGCGCGAGTTGAGTCCGCGAGTTGCAAAACCTACGAAAGAAATTATTTTGATTACAATCTTAAAAACTATAATTTCTGCATCAACCAAAATTTTTTCTTGCACAAGATTTTGCTGTTCTACGTTGTGTTCATTTTTAGTACCTATAGCAGAAACCTGCTTGCCACGACTTGAGGTACGAGTTCAGATGTTCATTTCACGCATTCTTAATCAATATGAGAGAATGTATAGAATAAATTTGATATGTGAAAGACTTTGACAATGAAAAGATTTGATAAAATTAATAATTCCTCGTTCAAGAGACCCGTAGAAAATGTGGTTTCTGGATTGTTCTCTCACCATATGGCCTGATGCCTCTGCCTGCGGCTGCTCGTGTTGGAATCGAGCTCCCTCTGAATTTAGTAGGCCCTTTGGATAGCATTGGGCCCTTTTGTGGGGAAAGGCCTGCCTGGTGCCCCCTCAGTACTTTCTGCACACTCGCCTCCAAGTCAAAGTCGCTCACGTGGCAATCCCGCAAGAGCTCGCTCAGCGACATGGGGATCTGCAGCAAATGGAGTAAATGTAATGACAAGACATATTCCAGGCTAACATCATAACATAGTAGATGGTCAGAAGTTAATTTTACACATTAAATTAACAATTCTCATGAAGTTTCACTTTGGTAATCACAAAAACAACATTTTTCTTGTGATAATCACTTTGTCACAAGATACGGTAATCGTGGTGAACTTTGATAAGTTTCGAATTCAGATTTTCCAATGTAGGAATAATTGCGAAATGAAAATTGCCGTTGTGCGAATCTACTATGGGATTTAGAAACATCTTAAAGATCAGATTTGAAAGACCAACTAAAAACAACACGAATGTAAGGTGTGCAAGGTTGTAGAAGCACAGTTACCAGTACTAAAAGAAATTTAGTTAGTGAAAGATACTTCACCATTGATTAATGCGATTACTTTTTTTCATGACGTGTGCATAGAATAGCGTAAGTGGTAACGAACCAAATCGTGGTCTGGATCATCGAAGACGTCAGCGTAGAGAGAGGGAGGTGACTGCAGCCACAGCTTCGGAGACTCGAGGTCAGCGGACGGCGGGCAGCACACAAGACGCTGGTCGTACTGTTGGGTGACGCTGCGACCCCCTCGGCCCATCCAACCTCCATCTTCCTCCGTTACCTCGCTCACTAGGACAATTACTCCATTGTTATGTCACTCCAAAACCAAGAAAGAATCTAACCTTTTCCAATTTGTTTACTAGAGGCACACTTCCAACTCGTGCAAGACATGCAAACCAGCAGTCTTGCATTATGAACAGCTTTTAGTCTACTAATGAGCTCGCGATTAAATGATAGGAAGTAGCCACATAAGGCTCGATAAGAAAACCGTACCATGAGGCGTAAAATCATTCAAAACCTAAATTTAAATAGGACAATGGATTATAGCTTATCTAAATCAACCGTCACGAAATAACTGATACGTAGGAATGATAAAGCTAACAATTTATGAGTATGATTTATGACTGTGAAAGTAGAATACACAACTTCTAAACAAAATTAAGCATTACCTTAAAAAATATAACTCAGTACTCACTGCAGTGAGTGACAGAGAGCGCATTTCCTCGTCGACGAAAACTCGAGGTCACGGACAGACGGACGGACAGACAGACAGACGGACATGGCGAGCACAATATTGCATTTTTTCCATAAATGAGAAAATGCGCTAAAAAGCGCAGAACATAAGAGTCTGTCACTCTGACGATGAGCTGATACTTACTATTGCATTAGCCAGTAAAGTATTTCTTATGTGCTTTCAATTCCCAAGTCTGAACTAGTTATATTCCCAAGTCTAAACTAGTTGTATAATAAGCTGAAATTTTTCGAATATTTCAGGGAATAATTGAGAAATAACGACATGCAATAAAATACATTACACAGAACTTGAAATGTTCATACCTCGAGCGCAGGAGTCAAGAGGATCGCAGGCGACCAACATCGCTAACAGCTCAGTGATGTCGACGTACAGACGCTCCAAGAGGCACTCATGAGCCTCGCAGTTCTGAAATGTGACCGAGGTTTAATTAAAAAAAATTCAATAATGATAGAAGTTAATTTATTTCTTCTTATCGCGGTGCTACACCGAACAACAGAAAAAAATAAAACTTGAAAATTGATCACTATTACGAAAATGTAAGTCATAGAATTAAGTGATGAACTATATCTTTAAGATGTACTTTGGCAGCACTTTATACATCGGATAGTATTAGGATATTAGTTGCATAGAGAACTCACAACAACAATGTCTGCCAGGAACTGCAGAGGATGTGAAGTTAATGTAGCTTTCTCGCCATTAGAAGTGATTTTCGCAGCAGTCGTTGAGACAGCCGCTTTGTGAGCGATTCCCAAATTTTCACCTTCATTACGATCGCTTGCATTTTTATCGTGTGGAGCTCCATTTAAACCAACATTGGATTCCGGGTTAAGAGCCGAGATATTCTTCAGCTTAGCAGTTCCAGGCCACGACAAATAATTGCACAAGTCGGCCACAGAGACTGCCATGGAGCGCAACTGAACTGGCACGCGTGTATCACAGTTGGACTGAGGAGCAGCATTTTCTTGTAGCACTGACGCGTCGGGATACAATAGACTATGGATTAAATTCATCAATATTTGGAGAGTCTCCAGCGCTTCTTCAGACCTGGGAAGATCGCTCACAAGACTTTGAAGAACGGGTAGCAAGCAGCCTCGTCGCTTGTCAAGAACGCTGTAAACACACAAAGGGAAGAGAATTTGAAATTTAAGAGAATTTGAATTTCAATTAATTTATAGTAATTCAACAAAGTTTTATATTACTTGAGTCTAGAACAGATGCCTTAAGCTTACATAGTAACTGACGACCAATTTCTTCTTTTAAAACAACTGAAAATCAACAAACTACGGTATTTGTTTAGAGGTCCTGTTTACCAAGGCACGAGATATAGGTTAGCTTTTACAGGTCGAATTTCACATTATTTCGAAAGGCTACCTACCTTTCAAACACATTAGATGCTAAAATATCTAAAAAAAATCCAATCTAAACAGTACTCACAGCAAATTATCTACAATTATCAGCCATATAAATATATTTCAAGCAAAATTCGATTAATTATTATAAATAGAGTGAATTGAATGGCAGCATATACGAACGTTTTGAGGTGGAAGAGACCGTAGTCATGCGCGGAGACGTCCAGAAGGCACAGCAGTAGAGGCTGCAAGAGACGCTGCGTCACGGCAGGCTGAGCCAGCAGCGACACCTGACACTCTAGTAGCGGAGCCAGTAGCTCCCGGCACGGCACGCCCCACTGCAATCCTTCATAACCGCTCTGGTGGGTAAGGGAAATCCTAGTAAACAATAAGACTTAAACTTCATAGGGCGCAAGTTGAGTGATTAGGAGTGAAAATAAATAATGCAATATATGGGCGCCAGTAAAGTACTACTGCACTACTTGCAGCTCGTTAAAAAAATAGACGGACCATTACTTGAAAGGGTACATTAATTTTTTATCTAAAACATATTTTCGATTAGTTCGCACAAACGACATATGATACTACGAGAATTATTCACAACGAAACTTACCAGGAGGTTGTTTTGAGCTCGGCACAAATGCAGCACCAAGAGACATCGAGGATAACGAACATGGGTGCCAGCTTCCCCTTCAGCAGTAACGCAGAACGTCCAGTGCGACAGCAGAGCCGAGTACGGCTCCGACATAAACAAATGAAGCAGCGCCGCCTTGATACCGGCGTGCGACGCTAAGGACGCTAACGTGTACATTACTCGTGAGAGATCCCGATAACTGTCATCCAGCCTTTGATATTGAAGACACAAATCTAGCAGAGGACGTACAACAATCATTACAGTCTGGGGGGCAAGATCTGCCAGTGCCACGATGGTGCGGCGTAAGGCGTACGTGAGGCTGGCATGAGCACCAGGCGCAAGGTTAATTATCAGCTGATGAAAATCTTCCCCTAGAGGAGCAATGTTTGTGGCCCATAATTTACGAACAACAATGTAGCGCTCCTTCTCTCCGGCTGTCAGTTGCCTGCCAGACACTGGCAAAGGAAGTGGCAGTAGCTCTGTCAGTAAACACAAACCGGCTACTATCGTGTGAGGAGCGCGATCGCAGAATTTTAGTATCTGAAAATACACAAAAGAATAACAAAAAATGCGTTAGAACATGTAAACTCTCGGTACAATAGAACGATAAAAAAGGGCTAATCAAATTTATATTCAGTGGCAGTAATGGTGAATAACACATAGGGACTGAAAAAATTAGATAAGTACTCACTGCAGTGACTAGTGAGTGACAGAGAGCACATTTTCTGGTCCGTCCATCCGTGAAGTCACGGACAGACAGACGGACGGACGGATATGACGAGAACAACAGCGCTTTTTTTCCAAAAATGAGAAAATGCGCTAAAAATGTATGCTAAATTTACCAGACAGCCAGTTTCAAGCAGGCATTATAATCTATATATAAGCGTTGTAAATTTCCCCCCAATCTAATCTTTCGACAGAAGAAGAATTGATTTCGACAATACCAACACATACTTGAATAGAAAAACAATGCAGGGAAATACTTACGAAGAAGAAAATATCACTAAATAAGTGAGGAAATATTAAAGAAAATGAGAAGAGGCTCGCATTAGCAAGTAAAGTTATAACAGTCCCATAGAGTTTACCTGGAGCAGCATTTGCGGCCACAGCGCGTTGACATCACAAGGAGTGTCTGGGATGTGTCCCGGTTGGGTGTAGAGCAGCAGCGTCTGCAACACGAGACGCTGGAGAGGCGATGCGGAGTCCCAGTGCGGACAGGACTCGGGGAAGGACGAGAGTAGCAGATATGTCGACAACAGAGGCTGGACGCTAGACAAATCACGGTAGGCAGCTCCTCTAGCGCGTATCACTTGCTGCAGGAGGGCATGAATCAGCGTCAGCGCGGGACGGAGAAGGCAAACCAAAAGCCCTCCCTGAGACCCCCCTAATTTTGCTACGTGCAGACCAGGTTGAGGATTCAGATTTGCTAGCTTGATGAAAAAGCTGTTGAGATGCGTAATCAAGTCTGCCGAGAAAAACTGAACGATTGCATATTGATACTTCAACTCCTGTATGACCTCTTCGTTCTCTTGGTTGTCCACGGCTGGTTGTGTTGGCTTTGGCGGAATCGCCAAGCTCTCCATGATCCGCAGCAGTGTGAACAATTCTCCAGGAAATTTATCAACATGGTCTAGTTGGCCTTTGAATGCTTCCACAAGTTGGGGGATGTTGTCGTACGAGAAGCTTTCGCGTTTTCTACTAATTGAAAGCCATGGCAAAAGCTCTGATAATTTGGCAGCTTCTTCTAGCTGAGGACCGCCTCGGGTCTCCCAATTTTCGATGATCTGGCATATCTTCTCGGAGTAATTCTCGAGGAAAGTTGCGTTTCCATCAAACTTGACCGTGGCTGCTAAAATTTCGATTGCATAGCCAACGCAAGCAGCTTTTTGTGGAGCTGATTCGGCCGAATCTTTAGGAGCGAGGAGATTGAGATAAGGCATCAGTAGATCCAAATAGTCCCCGGTGGCAAGCGTCTTTATAAGTGATAACTTCGACCGATGAGAGTACATAATCCCTACTAATGCATTCAAGTGAACGAGTGATTGCTGAACGTCAATCGTGTTACTCCGACCGACCACCTGCGACTGGTCTTCGGTTAGTTTTGAACTGTCATTTTCTGAAGAGTCACCGACATTCCACCGAGCACTGAGACTGGCCAAAGAATCTAGTTGATGAAGAACATGAAGCTGTTCGATAAGTAAAACACCCAAGTCTTGGGGAAGAAGTGGAGGGTATCCAGGAGATTCGTCAAGATGGTAAGCTCGAGCATTACGGCCGTGGACACTCGCACTATCGCCGTCAATTGTCTGAAAAAAAAAATTCACGGTACCATCATGTCATTTGGCCAACAGAAAATCTTTCAAATCCATCAACAAAAAGTCAACCAGATGAATTAAACTATTTTTATGACTTTAAATGTGCTTTGAAAACTAATTCCGACTATATTAAAGTAAAATTATTTAATGCTAAAAATAAGCTATTCTAATCATTGACAATTAATTACAAAGGTTAATTCTAAGAGAATTGCTATTTTGTGGACTTCAAGCCAGGCGGCATGTTGATAGGATTTGTCGGTCCCAATCGAGATAATTTTCGACAGCAATGTAAAAGTCGATAAATTAAAATAAGTTTTTAACATCAATACATTAAGTCACTTAAGATACCCTGAGTAGAGCCTTAATTAGAGCCGTGGAGTGGCGATGGTGAACGGCAAAAAAAGTGAGGCCGCGAGGGCTGCTCGCAATGGCAGTGATGAGGCGCGACACGAGCGATGACACCACGCGCACGGCGGACGCTTCCTGCCAGCTCTCGCCTGAAGAACAATTTAACACATATACTAATAAAATAAATTTTTGTATAGTTAGGCAGAAGTTTTTCTTTAATGCAAGTTTTAATAAAGACCAGAGCGTATTTCTTATTAATGATTTTCTTATAAATTTACTCGATGCCGAGAAAATTAATAAGAAATACGCTCTATCTTTAATAAAACTTGCATAATAAAATAAAGTACATTTCTTCGTGAGAGATGCGTGTAAGCTATATGTCAGCGTGAATATCACATAAAATACCGTAATCATAACGTACTTTTACCCTGAATAGGAGTAGTGAGCTGCAGCTCGTAGGTGAGAGCGTTGCATAGATATGCAAGAGAGGGTACGAGGTCACCCAACTGCAGCAATACCCACACCTCTTGCAGGATATCGTAAGGGCATCTAGGGACCTGGAACTGCTTTCCCGCCGGAAGGTATCTGCAATATACCAGATTTTAGAAACGAACAAAATTACAAATCACCGCAAAAATCCTCAGTACAGTTCGTGAATATAGCCAGTATACCAATATTGAGCTCATGCAATTTCCCTAGAAATTACTTTTTTCGAACATAGTAACCAGCCAATTTTGTCAAGAACATGTACACTAAGAATGCGAGCGTGATGTCTTTCAAATCGTTTGGAAAGCTGCATCTAGAAATAATAAGAAGGATGAGGAAGAGCGCGATACTTAACTTTTTAGATATTCACGCATAAAAATAGTTCTCTTTACGAATAAATTTAAAAATTATCCTCCTAAATAAGCACTAAGTGTAGACGCTCAAAGCACCTCGTCGGCTGAGCCAGCAGCAGCTCGGCATGAGTGTAGGTGTGCAAGATGCGCGAGAGGCATGACGTGATCGAGGATATGAGGGCTCGTGGTACGGAAAATACAGGACGAGGAGGCTCTTCATCTTCAGCTTCGTCTCCTATTTCATCGTCTCGAACGCTGCTATCGTCCACGTCTATCATGTCAGTGGCAGCGCACCATTCGTCGTCCGTGCCTCCACCTGCACGATTGTAGAATTTAAATATAGATAATTCAAGCAGCACATTAGGTATAAATGTTTCCTAAAAGTGAATTCAAATAGCAATTCAATTGTCTATGAGGAATGAATAGAATAATCAAGAAGATTTGTTGTCCGTGGCGTGGTAACCTAACAGCACGCACGTTCATACCAACCAAACTGAGAGCAAACGTGAGACAAGAGCCACAAGACAGCGAGCGGGTATTGATAAAACGAAACTGTCTTTGAAACAGAAGCAATTAACAGCAACCAAAATTATAAAACATAGGAAAGAATACTGTTCAATAGCACGCTCGTAGAGAGATTGAAGTTACTTTCAAAATTATTTGCCTGATAAAATGCAGACAAAATTCACCAAAAAGTAAACTTTGCCATGCCAGCCGTCATTGTAGTCTTTCAGTTTTCCCATTTGAGTAATTATCTACTTATACAGAAAAGCAATGGAGCACATTGAGACGTTTTTAAGCGGCATTAAACTAGTAACGAACACAATATTAGGCATTAATCACCGATAAACAGTTAAGAACTGGTTCGTATCTGCCGACTCAATCTCTGTACCCATCTCGACTGTACCCGACTCAATCTCAATAACATCATTGTTTTACAGTAAGCTATGTCGTTAATCGCAACAAAGATATAAAATGAAAATCGTGATTCGTCTCTTTCCACACGTAACAATGAAGAAGTGATCATATTACTATTTCCAGGAGAGCAATAAACTGCAATTTAAACGGAAACTACTGAAGCTTCATCAGGACCGGTATGAGCTGAGAGAATGACCACCAAATCGACACTCACTCGGCGGCAGTGTCACAGGAGTAGCGCACGTCGGTCCAGACTTGCGTTCAACGTTTGCTTCAGGCCGTAGTTTTATGTCATGTGCGTCTTGATTCGTTTCTTCTGTGTCCTGAACATAATAAACCATCTTAGATACAACAAAAATTTCATATGACAACGAATAGGTCCATATCAATTAAAATGATAAATTTCAATAGTTTTCTCCACAGCAACATATAAATAACATTAATTCTATTCTCATCCGTAGTTAGTCATATATAACTAGTTATTAATTTAACTGAACTTTCAATTAGCTATTAATTGTAATTACTACAGTTCTTAAAAACTAGAGCATTTATAAGGTTTGCTTACCAATATAGTGAGGGGAGGCACGAGAGACTGCAGGGCCGTCACGTCATCGCGCAGTTTCTCCACGACCTCGAGCAGGTGAAGCTTGCGCAGCACAGCCGCTAGAGCGGCCTGCCACATTGACAATATTTTAAAACACTTCAACTGAGATAATAACTTTATCCTTACCCAATCATGTAAGATGCAATAAAAAGTTCACTTTCACAAAAGAAGTATCTTACAATCCAACGAAAACTCGAAATTTTCAATCAAAAACACTTTACAAGGAGTGATAGCAAGCCTACGCTTATGATAGTTGTATCGTAAATAAAGTAGTATCGTGTTAGGTACCATCCGTGATTAAGTGTTAACGGAAACCAGACGTACTCAAAGAAATTAATGAGACTTTGTCCAAACAGCGATGCAGTTTTGCCCTTATATGGGTTATGTTGACCCAGTTTGGCCAGGAAAAAGTACGTATCAGTGCTACACGCAGCAACGTGACCATTAGGACAACAAGATTCATCCATTATTTTTAGGTGCAGTGAAGGTTGGAGCGAACCTTGGCTCGAGTGTTTGTGGTGTCGGTCAGCAGCTGCAGCAGCAGCTCGTAGCCTGTCTGGTCCAGTTTTGGCTGCAGCGATAAGAACATTTGTACGCCCGTACAGGTGCTCAGTATGCTGTCAATACATCTGCACGAAGACAAACCGTGTATTAAAATTCATTGCCAAGAAAATAGAGCGTAAGTTCGCCAAAAAATATAAAATGCAGTGCTTATACCAAGAATACACCATTTTAGCCAAATTTGTCAGTAAACATTTGCCTGACCGAAAAGCGACTTGACATTGATGACGGAAAATGAAGACATGCACGACAATGCGACTACTGAGGATACCTGACGATGAGCAGCTTGATAGAGATGGCCATGAGAGGTTCCAGGTACAGTGCCCTGAGAGCGTGCAGCAGCGGCAGTTGGTAGAGCAGATGCCGAGTGATGTCATCGCTGCAGAGACAGAGCTGCGTGCACAACCTGATGCCAGCCTTCAGGTGCCGAATCTGTCATTATAAAATATTTCAATCGTCAGTTATATGAGTCGCATACATATCCAATGTGCTATATCTGCAACAGCTACTAAATCCAGACCATTAGCTGCATCTGACATCCTGTCATTACTTTAGAACCCAAGTATAAAACATTATCAAAGGAAATATTTTCTCCCTGACCAAACTTCATTTATACGAAGGTGTACATTCGGTGCATCTGAAATGCGAGTAATTGCAATGTGCATCACAGTAAAGTTTCACTACTAATATTTTTATTAAAGACATAGATAATTGTCAAGAATTCTGACCTTATAAACAGGCTGCGGCTGGGCCATGGCGCACTCCATATCCAAGCTGGCGGCTATCCAGCCACACAGCGTGGACACGCATTCTGTCCACAGCAGATATAATGTCATCTTAAATAATCTCAGGGACACGGTAAACCGAAGCATCGCAAGTCAACGTGCCTAACGTTAATTTGCAATGCCATATAAATTAAGAAGATAGTTTTCGCAAGAAAGTTCTCATTTTTTTAATTTGTGAAAGGGAAATGCAGGAAATTCATATCTGACAATGCGCTGATCATCTATTGTGACAGTACTTGAACATACAACTCATTGCACAGAAGTAAACAGCGAGGTGTTTCTCCATAAAACCTGAGCAACTCATGATAGATTTTTTCGTAAATTTAATATTGCAAATCAGAGAATAACTGTCACCATTTGTAAAGACCGATATGAAATAACTATTCATAGCACAGTAAGCTAGACTAATTATTCACCCATAATTTGATGGGGTGGCAGGAGGTGCAGGGCAGATGGCAGGAGAGCCAGCACCTGCTCGCATGAGTGCACGAAGTTCTCGCGTTGTTCATCGGCCGTGTTGAGGGACGGAACATAACCGCTCGCCACCGCTGCCAGAAGCTTACTGGCGGGCTGAGGAACGAACAAGATTTGAGAACAGGAGTAATATTTCTGGATTAACACTGTGAAGGCTAAATCGTTTCGCAATCTCACAACCACCTATAAGCTTCATAATATTATCAAATAAGATTCATTGTAATTTTTTTTTAATTAAAGAAATCGACAGCAGCATCAAAAGAAACCCTACCGTTTTTGGGAGGCGGGCATTACAAAAGCAACAGGTACCGGTAATGCAAGAAGAATGTTTTCAAAAGTAAACCCCAAAAAGAACCACCATGAAATTTAGTCAAAAAATAAATCCAAAAGATGTTAGCATACAAAGAATTCTTCTTAAAGTTCCAAAAGAAAATCTGAGGAGCTTTGGAATGACAAACTCACCCCATCTTTCTTGTCCCGTGGGTCAGTGAAACGCTCAAGGGGAGTGCTGCTGACATTAGCTTTAAGAGTAGTAACAGCAGCAGATGCGCTGTTAACAACTGTACCGTTAGCATGAGCAGCACTGTTTTCACTTACAACAGGAGCTCCTGTTACATCATGACTTTGAATCTCACTTTCTGCAGGAACAGAACTTGAGGCGCCGTTAGGTTCACACATCGCATTATCTACTGTCACGGCACTACTTATGCCAGACGACGGGTCAGCAGCAGTTATAGTGAGAGCTTTTATGGCAACGCCATCGTTCGTAATAGCAGGGGAAGCACTACAATTTCCAGGAGCGGCATTCACATGAGACGCGGCGTTATGAGCTGCAAACAATCTTTGATGCGCCGTCAGCGCTGGATTGCACAAATGTACGAGGGGAGCTACGAACTGAAATTCTTCGAGAATACACGGTGGCTTGAGCCAGTCCTCCCATTCCTCGACGATGTATTCCTCCTCGTTAGCCTCGTCCTCAAACTCCTGGTACTCGGGGAGCTCCTCTTCGTCTGACATGATCTCCTCGAAGTCCAGGTCCACTGCTGGTGCGCCGGCCGTCGTCTGAGCTTCAGGCCCGTCCATGGCTGCCATGGAACGTCATGCATTAAAACGCCGAATAAATAAATTCTTATAATAGTAACTTTACAGTGATAATTTTTAAAACACTGAAGAAACTAATAAAATATTATACCAGAAATCTTATGTACGGGCAGTAACTCAGTTCATCATTGAAACCGTAACTTAGAGAAATGAGTAATCAGTAGCCAAAGTTATATTTTTTAGTAGTCGAAAGGTATTATAAATTTACGCAAAGTTTCGAAAAATCGAGTAGCAATAGACAAACAGACATGTAAATCATATTTCTAAATGTAAAAATTAGGAAATTGAAAAAAATAAAATACAAACACGAGTTATTCTTTGCGTGCTATGTAACTAGAAAGATATCATTCTTAAATGGAATAAACCACTAACAAATGCGGGACACAAAAGTGGAATTACATCAATCTCACTGACCATCAGTCGTGCCTGGTGCAGCAAGAGCGGCCCCAGCAACGGAGGACGAAGCAAACTCGGCAGCACCGTTGACGTCAGGATCTTCTAGCGGGAGGTCAGGCAAGTCTTCATCGTCGCTGATAGCCTCCATGTGCTCCTCAGGGAACAGCATGGCACTCTGTGTCGCCGTCGTCACGTCGCCTTCAGCGTCAACTTTCTGCCTCTTGAGGTCTCGTTGTTCGTCTTCTCCGTCTGACAAAATTGTTACACGTTAACATTTTTTTATATTAAATATATTTCATTTTAATAATATTCTTTTATTATAAGTAAGGTTAATTTATAGAATGCTAAGCAGGCAATCCTGATATTGCTCGGCATAGATGATCTCTTTTTCAGCTTCACATCATCATATCAAGTCTTGAACTAAAGTGATGATGCCTAAAGACAGGCTAGTTAAATATTTCATCTACTGAAGAAGCTAAGCACTTGAATATTATTAATTATTATTGGGCCATGCCCAATGATTCCGCAACTAAAAATGATAATTCATTATATAACTGATATAGTGTACCGTAAATACCGTACAGATCATCTAATTAACATCCAGATACGCTTCATGTCTTATTAATCAAAAGATCATCTCGGTAATATCCCGATAATGAGAGATAACTAACATTCCTGCGAGTTTCAATACATTCACCAACTCTACAAAAAAAATGCATCGGTGGACTATGGATAATTTGAGGCATGCAAGCGAGGTTTTTCATTGCAGTTCCTGGCGGCTCTCTTGGGAGTATCATTGTTTGCAATGAAGTTCACATTACCCGAAAAACTAAAGACTTTTCTTAGTCGAGTGAGAGATAGTCACGCCTGTTTTTATACAAGTTTTAACTAATTTATTAGAATGAATAAATTACCTTTCTCAGGCCAGTGAGGACTGGCGATAGGTAGTGGCGGGGGAGGAGGCGTCCTAGGGCCTGCCTCTTGCAGGCTGTCGCAGCTGTAGCGACGGTGATGCTGCTTGCGGTGACTGCCACCCTCCACCCACTCACTGCGACAACAACATTATTGTGTAGGGCACGTTGTTATGACCATTATTGTGTACCGCATGTTGTTGTGACCATTATTGTGTATGTCACGTTGTTGTGACCATTATTGTGTACGTCCCAGGGTAAGAGCAGCAGTGGTGGTACTAATATGTTATCCTAACCATTCATACAAGTACAGGAGTACCAAGCTGTTATTGAGTGCGTCCTAGGGTAACAACATCAGTGGTGGCACTAACATTTTAGGCTAACTATTCATACAAGTACAGGAGACTAAAGGTAGCTCCATGTTGATTTATAATTGCCGTTGAACATTTTTCAACTTACGCGGGGAAAAATAATTCTATTCTGATTATGGTGTGTCTCCATTACAAAATTGATCATCAAAATCATTTGTGGCACAGAAAAACATGGCATAACGTTTCGCATCACGAATTCATTTGTGGCAAAGAGTTGGTTACAAATAAATTGAACATCGCAGTTAACAAGACAGAACAATTTTCACAGCAGCAATTGCCTCAACATAAACACCATTACAGCTAGTCTCTTACTCGTGGGCTTTGCGCTTTTCTCTCTTCTCGTCCTTGCTTCTCCTGGCATCCTTGGATCTTTTCTCCTTCTTCTCGCGTGTTCGGCCACCGACTCTTGACCTTTGCATTTCTTCTCTTTCGATTTCTCCATAATCTTTCCCTTCGATGGCTTGTGACCTGAAATTAAAGGGATGGTTTGATCTAATTTTATTAATTACCATATCATCATAAGGAATCAATTCCCAAACACAATTAAATACCTAAACACTTTCTACTTGTTGAAACCGCTCAGTTTGTTAAAAGAATTAGTAAACAAGAATACCCTGTCGAAGGAATTTTCATCAAGATCAATATTTTGAAAACATTCGGTTTGATAGAAATGCAATTGCACATATGCTTATAATCAACAATTCAATTCAAAACTAAGTAAAAGTTCAATTTTTTCCGAGCTCAAAGTGCCAATTATGGGACAGGTAAGAATGATTTAGCGGCATACCTGTGAGCACTGAGAGACCTCCGCGCCGAGTGATCTCTAGACCGATCCCGAGACGAGCGACGACGACGATCTCGACCGCTTCTCCCCGCCCGCTCGCTCTCGCGATCCGACCGATCTCTCGATCGATCAAGCATAGCGTCTTGGGATTTATCAACAGAACGATCATATATTTTTTCAGCTGATCTGTCGCGCACGCGATCTCTTGAGTGCTCCCTTGAAGAGCGATCTTCTCGACGTCTGTGGGATCTCTCGCTACTCGACACTCTAGAGTGGGAGGGTCGGGACCGGTGCTCGGGCGATGGTGAGTGTGGAGGTGAGTGGGGACGAGGCGTGTGAGGACGAGGTGAGTGGGGACGAGGTGAGTGAAGACGAGGTGAGTGGGGACGAGGTGAGTGAGGATGTGAGTGGGGACGAGGTGAGTGAGGACGAGGCGAGTGGGGACGAGGTGAGTGAAGACGAGGCGAGTGGGGACGAGGTGAGTGGGGACGAGGCGAGTGGGAACGAGGCGAGTGGGGACGTGATGTGTGGGAAGGAGGGGGCGATGGCGGAGGAGGAGCCGGAGATATTTCATCTTTACTTGGCTCGCCATCAAATGAAGGCTCCTCCCAATCTTCTTTTGCTGGAGATTGGTCCAGATCAAGAGGTGAGTGCGGTACCTGCAAAGAAAAACTTATATGTTACGAATATCATTATGAATTTTAGTTTTTACTATCTTTAGGTTGCAAGATGTGTTAATGATCTGGTTTCAGTTTGTCTAACAATATCTATAACAATTTTAATTTGAAGCATGGTCAATTGCATGAGTGACTCAATTTTTTCATAATATCTTTTGTGAGATGACAGGAGTGGTGTCGTACATGAGCAACCATCACATGTCAGAAGAATTTGCGGGTGTCCTAGAAAACATAAATTATTTCACAGAACTAAGCTGAATATAGATATTACATAATAAGCTCTACTCAAGAGTGTGGACCTTAAGACTTGGTAGAAGAACATGTGAGACAGATCAGGAGTTCCATGGTACAAGTAAAAAAAACTAACTTTTCAATTTTTTCCTCAGCAAGTGATCCTCACCTGTGTGTCCTGCAGCCAGTCCCTAATCCTCTCATTAGGATTCACTTTCTCAGGCAAAGGATGTGGCAAAGAAGGCGAGCCAACAACACCACTGCCAGGGTCACGTTTTCCTGAAGATAAACGAGTAACAAATAAGGCCCATGTCAAATAAAATTCTGTTAAGCAACAAAACAATGGTAATTGTTCTTTTTAGGAGTGGCCAAATAACGATAATTGGTAATGCATTCCCACAAGAGAGATTGCTGGATTTATTATCTCTCTGTGCTTGAGAAGATTGAAATAGGGTAACTTGTATCCATATTCATAAAGATTCATTACAAATCAAATTAAACATAGTACCTACCTAGCAAAGCATAAGCTTAATATATCTGATGCATCCTCCAATATGGGTAGAAACGTGTATTCTTAGCTATGTGCAAAATCACATATCTAATCATTAGTAACATTAACAAAGTTGGATTAAAAAAAAACCAAAAAATGAAATTGCAGAAGGCACAAACCTGGACTGCAAACAGAAGCCCTAGTCCCTGAAGAATGCCTGATGGGGACCTGAGCTGGAGGTGGTGAGACTGGTGCTGGAGGTGGAGGGGGTGGAGGTGGAGATTTTGGTGGAGGGTCGCGGTTGGCTTTACTTAGTGTACCATAGACGGCAAGTGTGATGGTGTTGTAGCTACCGCGTAGCAGCAGACCATCAGTTGGTGGCTAAAATTAAAATACAGAGATTCAACCACACAGGAACATAAATTAAAACTACTGTATGCCAAAACCATTAATTTGACAACAAACTATTTATAACTCAAAGAGCAAGTGAATAAAGCTCAAGGTATATAAATGATGGTTCAAATTGGTTGAAGCTGTGTGAGGAAGGAGCAGATATTGATGCTATCTTCTAATCACAGTAAAATGAAGCTATGTGCAGAAGCAATTTACAAATAATTGAATGTTAAAATCGAAAAAATTTACAAATCAAAGTAATAAAACTTTTTTCTATACTAGCATTCTAATGTCAACCTAAACTTACAGTTTTATCAAAGTCCAATTTAATTGGTCCTTGCTGATTGTATTGTAGCTGGCCTACATTTTCAAATGTTGTTGCACCGCGCTTCCCTCGGTCATTCACAAAGAAGTCAATGACAAATTGGCTGGGATTTGTAGCTCTGTTTGAGGGGATTAATTTGAGTATTGAATCAATATTAAATAAAATATCACATAAAATATCTGTAAAATAAACTTTCTGTTTAACCCAAATTGATTTCAACTTGATTCCACAAGATTTAAGGTCTAAGTAAAAATAGATTCAATTGCTACCAAAATGCCTGATCTGTGCAAAAAAATGCATTAAAAAATACATCTTTATGAGCATGGTTCAGGAGTCATTTAAGAAAATAGCTGTAAGGAATTATACCTACATGACAGCATTTCCCAGTTTTCACTTACCCCAATCTCACACCACCTGGGAAATCTGCTTTCACTCTTGCTCCAAGAGGGATGACTCGAACTTCACTCACATGAACTGCTTTCGGAAACTGCACCAGGTCAAGCTTTGTAACCTGGAACATTTTTATATTCTAATTATTCCAGAAATTTAGGCTGCTTTTAAAATGTTTAGCATAGGAATATGTATAGGTTCTATAATCCTGAATATAGGATAACCATTATTTTCAATATGATACCCATTACTTTAATGAAAACTGTTGTGATCAGTTTTTAGTGGGGCAGTGAATTCCTGAGTGTGCAGGGCACTTGAAGTTAATGCCATCTTTTATTCATTGTGAAAGGTTGGTGAGGAGTAAAGTGGTGGAGTGGAGAATGTGTAGCAGTGGAGTAACCTCATTGTGTGGGCGAGAGGGGAATGTAAATGTAGGGCATGATTACAGAGAGTATGAGGCGTATGGGTCTATAGGAGGCTGCCGCAGAGGGGGGCTTATTTAGTTTCAGGAGGGTGATAATTTGACCAGTTTTCCAGATTGATGGTATGATGCAGTGGGCATATGAAAAGTTAGCCATAGTTGTGTGAATGGTGATACCATGCAGGCCTAGGTGCTTAGGATGAATGTTGGAGATGTAGGTACTCTTGCACCATGGCTGAAGAATTTTTGATCTGTTTCATGACACATGAGGCATCTGATGTTGTGGCTGAGATGTGAGTGGGGCATTATCACATGTTCAGTTGACACTTGCTGTACAATCAGATTGTTTTTAGGGTAAAATTAGTTATTTGGGGTAACACATGCTGACGTGCATGCAACCTTGTAAATAAGTTCGTGGCTTACTGGCTTGTAAATAGTTTTTCATTACTTGGCGTAAATGGCTTTTCATTAAAAATTACCTGGCGATGCATCTTAAATTTACCAGGCAATGTTCAGGGCTTTAAAACCCATATATTGGCCACACTCAGGATTATGTTTGTTTTCAGGGAATTTTCCAGCACATTTTGACTTTTTTCAAGACATTGCTGCGCACAGTTGGTGCAACTTCTGGCCATCCCCGCTTGCAGGCGCAAGCGTCGGTGCAGCGCGCGCAAGCGTTGGCGCAGTGCGCACATACATTTTGTCAAGGGATAAGAGACAGAAAACATATCATACTTAATATGCGTTTAATTATCCATCAATAATCTATGATTTTCCTTGATATGGAAATTTTGTGAAAGTAAAAATCTAGAAATTTATTTTCAAAGAAATTTTCTACAAATTTCTTATACGAACTGACGAATATCGTTTGTTTACCTTCCGTAAACCGTCCGGACATGAGGCAATATTCAGTCCGGACGTGAGGCAAGTGGTGAATAACCAAGTCCTCAGAATTTGGACATATGAAGTAAACAAATATTAGTATTAAATGACAGATTTTGCTTGTTTTATATATACTATTATTATGCTGATCCACTATGCAGAGGGTGGATGCAGCGTCGCCAATATATGGATTTTTAAGCCCAAAGCGTCGCCGGCCATTTTAAAGATGTGTCGCCGGGTAATTTTTAATGAAAAGCCATTTACGCTGAGTAATGACGAACTATTTACAAGCCACAAACGTATTTAAAAGGTTGCAGGCACGTGTTACCCCACATAACTAATTTTACCCTAAAAACAGTCCGATTGTACAGCAAGTGTCAACTGAACAAAGTGAACATGTAATAAAGCAGTCTGACCACTCTAATGTGACCGAAACTACGCAATCGAAAAAAACGTTTACATTTTTTGCAGGAACTCATCGCAACTGATTTCCGGACAAGCTTCGCTGCATCGTAATCCATCCAACATACCGGAAACTTTACTTTTTTTCTAAATAGTTGGCCAAAGACTGAGAAATATATTGAATGCAAGAATTTCAATCTAAATATGTCGGCAAGATCTTCTGAAGGTGAAAATTTGGCTACTGAAGCGTCGCCAAAGATCTCGCTATATTCATCCACTCTCTGCATAGTGGATGCTGATAGGGTTATTAGAGATTCTATGGTTAATGAAAGGAGTCAGAAATAATTTCATCATTGTAATTAATGGAAAATAGTTTTGAGTGCGAAATCTTTTGTAAATAAAATATGTCCTGACTAACTGTCATCAGAAATTTCTAACATCGTCTTTACATACTTTTACGCAATGCTGATTCATCGTCATGTGTCATGTGATGACGTCTCGGACAAATTTATGGCCGTACTTGCGGGTTGCGGCCGGTTTCGCGGCTGGACTCTGTACCTGAAATATCTCCCATACCCATAGTACTGAACTAGCTCAATGAAACTTGGTACACATATTCATTATGGGCATTTATGGGCCTATTATGGCCTAACGGTAATATCAAGCTCAAGACAATTATTTTTAATATTGCCTTCATTTGTGAGTTATATGACAAAACGTACCAAGCAAAATTTGCAGTGTAGGTACCAGCCATTTCTTCTAAAATACTGAATGGATTTTAACGAAACTTTGCATATAGAAACCTAACCTCCCAATGGTGTGATGTTTAGCTCGTGACAATTTTTTACGTTTTGCCTTTGTTGGCGAGTATTTTTCTCTTTTCCCTCATTCGTAATTTAAACAGCAAAATTGTGTTTAAATTCGCAGTGTACCAGAGATTTCTTCTAAAATACTGAACAGATTTGAATGAAACTTTGCATATAGAAACCTAGCCTCCAAAAGGTGATTCTTAACTGAACTGATTCTTAAAAATCTCTGGTTTGTCACTATGGCAGAATAATTGAGTTGTAGCTTGTAGTCTAGATGTAGGGATTTTGATGGAAGGTTGGCCGCATGTAGGCTTGTGGTTACATTACTAAATATTAGTAATGTTTAGTCACTTTAGAGTTTAGTGGATTGTAAATGTAAGTATAAATCTTATGGATATGATTATATCATTCCTAGGCTAGTAAACTAGCGATGATACAAAAATAGCATTTGAAACGATCTCTGCACTCACATCACTGGCTTCGTGGGAGAACGTATCAAAGAATACAAGGCTTGACATTTTTAACTGTCGTTGGTATATAGTTAATGATGATATGCACTTTTTCAAGCAGTTATTCACAAAAAAAATCCCTTTCTGAGTTTTGGCTTCTTCTAAACCAAATGCGGCACGTCAGTAAGCTAACGATCCGACGCAACGGAAATACTACCGGTGCAGATATAGCTTCATTCAGTTGTGTGTGGGTTTAAACAATCCACAATTTTTTAACACTGGTAAATTTTGTTCATATCCCATTAAATACTATTCATTTTAATCATTTTAATTCAAAAAAATTATTTTAATTTCATTCCACTCTGTACTATTATTTATAGTAACTCTGTTCCAAACATAGGTCCTGGATGTACTTCTAAAGCGAATCAATTAATTTTATTCATCCATATTAAAATTTCTAGCTGAATATCGTAATGGGTTTGCATTTGTGACGAATTTGCTCACGGTCACGGACGTGCATTAGTGTTAATGAAATATCTCTTGAGTTTCAGCCACATTGGATCGAGAATTAGTGGCCTGTATTACCCGCTCTAATCGTCTTTTCTCATTTGTGCCCGCCAGAACATCGTTAAAAGCAACAGAATACAGTATACCTTCTGTGAAGGAATATAGTACGTGGTATTAAATTGAGTTTGAAGAGGCTTCTGAAGAAGCAGTCAGTGAAATTGTAGCAACTCTAGCTGAAGAGGTGAATGACTCCCTTAATTAAAATAGGGCGCAGGTGAAAAAAACAAGCGAGATAATTTGGGACCAATCCCCGGACCCTAATGGACTTTGTTTTGCAAACTTACGGAGCGGCACAAACTTTCACACCACGGCTACTTCAATAAGCCCTTCAACCGGCAAACACAAATTCAAATATTCAACTCTTATTCTTTCAAACTTTCCACTGAATGGAGAAATTTTTGCCCGAAAATTATTTTCGGATATTAGCCGCATATATTATAGCTTAAATATTTTTCCATGTACAAACCCCTTCAGGAAAATAATGGATGAGAAAGGATCATTATCAAAACTTTTCCTTAGTAAAAGTCTTGAATTTATCTCAATTTACGTGAATAAAAACATAAAGATTCGTGCAATGCCTGTCTACCTCTAATAGTGAAGGAAGTCAGGCACTATGTATATAAAATATGACTCCGTACTCACTGCAGTGAGTGACAGAGAGCGCATTTTCTAGTCGACGAAAACTTGAGGTCACGGACAGACGGACAGACAGACAGACGGATATGGCGAGCAAAATAGTGCATTTTTCCCATAAATGAGAAAATGCGCTAAAAATATAACTCAGTACTCACTGCAGTGAGTGACAGAGAGCGCATTTTCTCGTCGACGAAAACGTGAAGTCGCGGAGCAGACGGACGGACGGACATGGCGAGCACAATAGTGCATTTTTTCCATAAATGTGAAATGCGCTAAAAAGCAGGTATCACCTAAAGAAAAAAAACAAGCGGCAGTATTTTGTTTTAATGTTGAGCACAAGAGACGACACAGAGCGTTACAACTGATACCAAACCACTCAACGTCAACAATACCAGAATATAAAAAGAAGATATTGCCTTTCAAATTTGTTATGCAATAGGCAGAAAGTTAGTTTTACTCGAATTATTATTAAACTAATAAAAGGTTATTCAAATGATCTAATTCAGTTGATAGTTAAGACGATTCTTCTCATCAAAAACAGAGTTTTCAAAGTGAAGTTGAAATTATCAGGTTCTATACAACACGAGTCTAAAAATATAGACGCACGTTGGTTCTATTGCACACTCAAGACTCAAGCTTACATATTCGACCTAGCCTAGATTTATGTACACTTTACACAGCTGCCTATATCACTTCTTACACACTGAGCGTAAAATGAGTGAACACATTCTTCAAGAACTGAGAAATGTAGAGTACAATGCACAATAAATACTGCTAATCTAAATATCGTGTAACCGATATGAAATTTAATACCCAGGGGCATTTGGAAAGAAATTATTGTGTTCAAGTCTTGGAATAAAGGTTACGAATTACTTGTTATCAAGCGATTTGTCTATTTTAAAACTATTTTGTCTATTTTAAAACCCATTGTGAATTAATTCTTTAATACACAAAGTATAATCATCTTGATTCAGTAGTGCCAGGTATAGTATGCAAGACTTTTAGAAAGATCTAAGTACAACAAAGGATCATCTTGAAGCTCGTCTCAAGGTTCATTTCCTACAATTTCTGTAAAGCAACCAGTTATTTACTTAACCAAAATCGCTTCCATATGATATACCCATCTTAAACTAACCTTGCTAGCTCACAATCCCCAAATACGATCTTGTCATTAATTAAAGTCAGCTGGAAATATTAGTAATACGAAAATTTCTCGGGCAGAGATAGCGGGCGCGAAATCAGATGGATTTGAAATCATTAAGTGTTTCAGGCATCGCAAGTTTAGGGCTCCTATAATCATCAGAAGAAACAAGGTCGCGTACCTCTAAGTCAACGCAGGCCTCTAACTGAACCGGTCACTTGCAAGCGTTAAACCAAAGATGAATATCGTCGCATTTTTTATCGCCGTTAAAACATCGACGAATATCTTCAAGACCTTCATTATAACAAAATTTCCTAGTCTAATATTCTTCCTTATTATGGCACGCAACGCAGCACATTCTTTATACATCAAACGATGGGAAAAAATATATCAGAAATAATAGTGAAACCCGGAGAGGAAATGTTAATGCTTTGGCGAGCGTACCCCACGTGTGGGGGCGAGCGTGCCCCACGTGTAGAGCGAGCGCGCCCCACGTGTAGAGCGAGCGCGCCCCACGTGTAGAGCGAGCGCGCCCCACGTGTAGAGCGAGCGTGCCCCATGTGTGGGGCGAGAATGCCCCGCGTGTGGAGCGAGCGTGCCCCACGTGTAGAGCGAGCGTGCCCCACGTGTAGAGCGAGCGCGCCCCACGTGTAGAGCGAGCGTGCCCCACGTGTGGGGGCGAGAATGCCCCTTGTGTGGAGCGAGCGTGCCCCACGTGTTGGGGCGAGCGATCCCTACAGCTGGTTTGATGCCGCATGCATCCAACACGCCCAAGACAAGAAGAATCATTTAAATTCAATTTTCCTCAGCATGTAATACGTTGAATAACAATATTCAGATGAAAGAAGGTATAAAAGCCTTCAAATAAGTTACAAACATTCTAGAATAGGTCTTAGTTTATCTTATTATCAGAGAATCCGTAGAAATGATGGTAGCCTTACAATAATTTAACATATATACCGGACGCAACTAACTGCGTCATTATGCCATGGTCAAGACAAAATAAATATTCCAGCGTAAAAAATCTTTTAAATTAGCTAAAATTAAGCATAATAACAATAATTATAGTGTTTGTGCACGATTAGTTATGCGTCGTCGAATTTAGCTTCATACCCACTGGATTTTACTCCAAAAATGTCGATTTCATTCTCGTAAGATTCCTGAATCATTTGCGATGTAAAAACACATACATTTCTACGCGTACGTTGACTTACTCACGAACTTGTTCTGCTTGATGCACGCCGTTACTGTCTACAAATGTCGTTCTTTGAATGCGATAGATTCTGGCTTGATAGAATACAGCGAAGACTGAACCATCAAAATTCGGTAAGAATACGAGTAGCCTAACTACACGTAGTGGTCTAAGTACACGTAGCGGCTGGTTGTCCTGCGTATGATTGGTGGGATTAGCTTGGAAGCCGTCAGTGATTGGCCGACGGAGTTCCGAACTCTTAATTATTATTGATATTACGGCCCCAAGACTTGTGCTCGTATTAAATAGATCAAACGATTGCAGCTCTCAACCCTAAAAAAGAAAATATGTAGCTGGAAAACTACTGTGCAACTGTACTAATATACATAAATGTATAAATACATCAAAGCATGTGCACGACAGTGATCAAAACATCAGTAACATGATAAGTTGAAGACAAGTGCAATTTCTTTAAGGTGAAATTCAGTACTCAAAACTTGGCATCACACAAGACAGTCATGAAGCAATAATTTAAAATATTTTCATACCTATTTGCTATACATAATGGCTTGGCGTTCTCATCCCGGAAAATCTGTTAATTATCCACTTGTGTTGAATATTTGGAAAATGAATATGAAAAAATAACACAACATAAGGCGCTGTCGTGACCTATTACAGAGGAGATAGTGACCGATGATGGCCAGCTTGTTCTCAAAGAAGTTAATATAGTCGAGAAATAAAACATACGCGTTGAAACTTTAATGAGCATCTTTAGTTTGTGACGATGTTCAATATTTTGAGATGTCAACATTTCTTTTATGGTACAGAATTTACGTAGTTAACTGTCCATTTGTAAACAAGTTTTACCTAAGATCGTTGCAGTGAAGTCTCAATCGTCAAATGTGCCGACCAAGTCTATTTCGCACCATACAGTAATGTACAACTTAGAAACATCTACATTATTCATATTCATGCGATGCGTCCTAATATCCTATTGTTCATACTCATTTCAATGCCACGACAATATAGACTAATACATCACAATGCCAGGGCGTTAAATATTATAGTCTAGGCAATTATTATGACGAATGACGATTGCAGATATTGTCAATGGTTCATAAATTATTGAATATTCTGTCACAAGCACATAAAGCTACGGCAAAAATATTTTAAAACAGTAGAAGCTCTACTAGAGGATTTGCTACAACACCAACGACTATGCAGATATGTCGCAAACGATATAGACTATTGTAAGTATCTTCAAAGGCGCTATATATACGTATAGATTGTGAACAATATCATAGGTACAATAGACTACTGAAAATATTATCATAGGCACTGAAGTCAATAAAAAATATTCTCGAAGGCCCTGCAGCCAATTGTAAATATTCTCATAGACACTGCCTTCCTAAACCAACTATTTAACATGCTGCTATAGACTGTTGTAGATGTTGTCGACCTCGTTGAGTATAGCGTCAAAGTGGGGGCGGTTATCGGGCTCGTATTGCCAGCAGTCGAGCATGAGTTGGTACATCGCCTTGGGTGTCGTCGGCGGCGCGAGCATCCGGTACCCTGGTGGACAAACAATTTACTGAATACATTTAATTTTATTTCAACGATTAAATTCTAGAGGCATAATAGAAAATGTATTATCCTGGTGGACAAACAATTTACTGAATAAATGTAATTTTATTTCAACAATTACATTCTAGTGGCATAATAGAAAATTCATCCAAAAACTTCTGCAACATTAGTCAGCTTTCTAGGAGATGTAGCTCGCAACGAAAGAAAAAAAAACAAGATTCATATTTGTAGTTTGAAAATCATATAGCAAAACATGGCACCACCCACGGAATTTGTGTCGTCGATATATAATAAATTATTTGTGAAGAAGCATCTTGAACGGAGGACTTCAAATGCTTGGTACATATTTACTTTCTTAATAAATGAATGAATTATAAACATTACAACGTTCTCGTGTTGTCTGCACGTGGCCGATTTGCGACTGAATGAGACTATTCAAGAGTGAGAGCTCGGTGGTGACCAAGTGGGTAAGATCATAAAGAGAAGAGTAGCGAGTAGTGGGTGCGAGACCCACAACTAGTAACTATTGGGTTCGAAACCTACGAAAATAGGTAGGTTTCGAACCCACAGCCTGGTGGCCGTATGTTGACAACAGGCCAACGAAACTATCACCATTATATTATTCTGTTATTCATTATATTATTAAATTATTATATTATTAAATTATTATATTATTTAATTATTATATTATTTAGTTATTATTACTTCACTAATTTCCACACTACGCCTTACCTGAGTCGATCATCTCCCTGGCCTTGGTGTTGGTGTATCCGTGATACGGCACCTCCCCGCCTGAGAAGATCTCCCAGCACAGCACCCCGTAGCTCCAGACGTCGCACAGCGACGTGTATTTCCCTGCACGTAGGAAGACAAGACTAACGTATCTTGCGGTGAGTGGAACCAGACTAACGTATCTTGCGGTGAGTGGCACCAGACTAACGGATCTTGCGGTCACTGGCACCAGACTAACGTATCTTGCGGTGAGTGGCACCAGACTAACGTATCTTGCGGTTATGAGCACGAGAGATCGGAGCAAAGCTATACTTAGAATCCTTTTCTTCACACATAGGAAGGATCTATGGAATATTTTTAATAAATATCACCAGTTTAAAAATTAATGTTAACGCTGTGCATGATTACGGAATACTCTTTGAAATCACGAATTTTATTAACACAGAACAGTGCATCGGAAGATTGATAAGTGTCGAAACATGAGCATTGAATAATGATTACAACCTTATTTGAAGATATTCCAATAGGCAGTAAACCGTGAATCAGATGTCATCGTCGTTGATAAATCTCGAAGCAATATTTCTCCTATGCGATAACGTTTATCATCAGTCTTAAATATTAGAGCTAAAATCATTGTTTCACCTTAACCTTTGACAAAATTGAATTAAATTGAAGCTAAATTGCTTCCCTTACTTTTGAATATTTAAATTCAAATGTTATCAATTATTTTAAGCGCAGCAAACGTATTCCATGCATTCTCCAACTGCGATATACATCCCAAGTATGCAAATTTGGAAAAATAAATACGATAAAATTTTATGTCAGAATTTTTCGAACTTATAATGCATAAATCTACGCTTGCCGCGAAAGGTAAAGCATGTGACTATATTTATACCGAAGTTGAATATAGATATTTCTACGCTTGCCGCGAAGAGTAAAGCACGTGACCTACCGAAGTTGAGGGCTTCAGGAGCGGTCCACTTGATGGGTATCTGCTTCATGCCGTCGCTGACGATGTATTCCTCCTCCTCCCGCGACATGCCGAAGTCTGAGATCTTCACTATGGTCCTCTCACCTGCAATGATATTTGGAACTCTGGGTCACCGCGTCTGTAGTTCTCATGTTAAAATAATAGGATTTTACAAAAACCTGGCGAAATACTTAACGGTTAAAAATGGTTAACGTTTTTCAAGAAGTTTACAGAAAAGATTAATTTAATCAGAATTCGCTTATCATCACGTTATTCTCCGAAGCATGATAGCGTTTTCTGTTCGAGTGCCTTTGAAAACTAATCTATTAAAATAATTGTCAATATGCTTTAGCGATTTGATTACTTCGTTTATTACTGAAGATGCCTGGACAAAATTTATACACAAATGACTCCTTCACAGAGCATGATGGAGACTACATATGACTCAAGTAGCACAACGAGTGTACACGTATTAACAGCTGCGTACCAACAAGACAGTTGTGACTCTGACACAAGTAGCACAACAAGTGTACACGTAAGAGCTGCGTACCAACAAGACACTTGTGACTCTGACACAAGTAGCACAACGAGTGTACACGTAGAGCTGCGTACCAACAAGACAGTTCCTAGCAGCGAGGTCGCGGTGTATGCAGTTCTTAGACTCGAGGTAAGCCATGCCGGCGGCGGTGTCTCGGCACATGCCCGTCATCTGCTTCTCCGTGAGCTTGCCTTTGTTGCTGCGCACGTAGCTCAGCAGTGACCCGCCTGAACAGCATGCGAGTGTATAATATTAATGGTATTGTTGCTATATAACACTTAAAAAACGCATGGCATAAATTAGAACCTAGCATTGAAATACTGATTCAAGTATATGCAGGATTTACTATACCATGACAAATTACGCATTGAGCAAATGGCAAAGAAAGTACATCAAAATTACCCACTGTAGTATCTAAGGTTCATGAATAAAAATATAAATTTAAATATTCCACCAATTTTTTCTTACATTTATCTGTCACTTTGCACTAGTAAACTATTTCCCAGAGCAACAAATTTCTCTTCTAGCCCAGCATTCAGAATTCATTTCCATTTCACCAGTACCATTTTAGACAAGACCCTGGCTACTTTAACTGCATACTACCGTAACAAAGCTCTATCATCCCAGCATGGTCAAGTGATCTTGAGTAATGACATTTGACGGAAGCAAGATACTTACGAGACCATATTGATTCACCATGAGAATATAATGCTCCCTACACCACCAGGCACCAGCTCCATGGCCATCACTGCTCCCTACCACCCACCAGGCACCAGCTCCAGTGCGCACACTGCTCCCTACCACCTACCAGGCACCAGCTCCATGGCGCTCCCTACCACCCACCAGGCACCAGCTCCATGGCGCTCCCTACCACCCACCAGGCACCAGCTCCATGACTATCATGATAGGCTGCTTCTGCACGCAGATGCCGATGAACTTGACGATGTTTGGATGGTCGTACTGCTTGAGGATGCGTCCCTCCTGTAAGAACTTCTTCTTCTGCTCGTCAGGCAGCGTCACACGACACGTCTTCACCGCCGCGTCCAGGCCTGAGCCAGCTAGACGTGCCTTGTACACGTCACCGAAATTCCCCTGCAATGAAGCAAAATTAGATTTCGTCACCCAAATTCTTACGGCAATAATCAAAGTTAAACGTAAGTCATCAGCATTCTGTTTGAATGAATCGCAAGTAGGCATGAACTTAGCCATTATATTTAGGACCAGAATACGACGAAGTTACATAAAATAAATTATAACGTAACTGTCTAAATGGATTCTAACCACACGTAACTGTCTAACCATTTCGCACGAAATAAACACAATCTGATGCATTCTTGTCAACGTTCAGTGCAAAATTTGATGCAGCCCGTCAACACGTGCAGTCTTGTAATGCAACACATGCCTTCACGCCTTATTCCAGCTCATGTACCAACAAGGCAGCCTTACTCTGCCGATCTTCTCGACAAGTTGCACATCATCGTTGTTAAGCTCCCAGTGCTCCCTGAAGATGGGAGCTCTGAGGACAGCGCCAGACTTGTTGGTGACGGGCAGACCGCACTTGTGCTGGTAGATGATCAGCTCCTGGATGCTGGGGTACGCCGGGCCCTCGAAACGGTAGTGGCCCTGAGCACAGAATGAAGTGGAGGCTTATTTGTCTTTCCAACAACATTTATTAATTTGTGTGTATCCTCAAAACAACAATTACATCAAAATTACTCAAGTGCACAAGAATAAACTATAAATCTTGATAACGAGAGCTGGTAAATGAAATTTTTATAGTCAAATAAGTAATGTAGTATAAACATTGACACGAGTATTCGAGCGACATGAGCAGCGCACCTCAGGCGTGGTCTGCACGATGAAGTGCTTGTGAGTGCCCCAACTGACGGACAAGACGACCTGGCGCTCGTCGTTCCTCGTGCTCTCCCTCACCAGGAAGTCCCCGTCCTCCCTCAGCAGCCTCACGACCTCCTCTCGGGGCAGCACGCCGTGGAACCAAGGTTCGTCCTCCAGCTGCCGTTCAGGATCTAAAGTCTGCAACGAAGAGAACTCAGGAATTTATTACTGAAACTTGGACACATGAAGATTTGTACCTTATCGCAAGCTACAAGGTCGAGATCTAATCAAAAATTCAATTATAGAAAATGAACATTACATCTCTTGAATTCTACGGTCATAGCGATAGAACGATAACTTGAAATACCGCTTGAAGACCTTCATCCTACAGAACATGTGGACTATGAAACCTGTCATAAAATTGCCCTAGCAACAAGGCGATTTAACGCCTCGTAATAATGAGGTTAAATTTCAGAATATAATTGCATGAATACAATTAGTTACAAAGGTGCAACCCTGAAGAAGAGTCGTTCCCACGATTCTAGAAGAGACAATATCAGAAATATTTTCTAACACACATAACTAAAATTTATTTTCACAAATTATATCCATCATCGTTTTTTCTGAGGAAAGTTCAACGAAATAAAACCCTTGTTTTAGTGCGCAATCACACGTGAATTTTTAAACAAACCTCGATTTAATAACTTCAAATTACAGAAGGCTGAAACAACTATTATAATTGCCAGGGAAAGCTTGGTAATATCAATACCGTAAAAAGGGAAAGAAGCTTTTTGATATAAAGAATACTTAATCGAACATAACTGCTGCTATGTTCGAGATAAGACGACGTCATAAACTACGAGTTTATAGAAACTAGGGTACATTATAAACTACGATTTTCAACTACGTTGAAAATAGCGCCACCAGTTTCTTACAAGTTCCCCGACGCCGTTAGTTTTCGTGGGAGACGCGCTGGAGGAGACGTCAGCTGCCTTAGGGAGGGAGCTAGGAGATCCTGAAGGAACCTCAGCTCCTCCTGCAGGCTCCTCGGTGCTGGCACGGGTGGGTGTCGGGGGAGTGGACGTGGGGGACTCGCTGCTGTTGGCGCCCTGCCCGCCGCGGGTGCGATGGAAGGGCTTCTTCAGGATGTCCTTTATGGCAGAGGACCTCGAGCGCACCGAGAGGTTGTCACCGCGCACTGGACTTGCCGTCTGGTGCATCAGAAAATTGTTCATATAAGTTATGCGTTCAATGTAAACAAGATGAACAGCGTACGAATTTCTTATAAAGATTGTAATAAGTTCGATTGTGAAAGAGTAGGAAAACCAGATTGTATAGATTATAACACTGGAAACTTTCCAAGAAACTAACTTTAATTCCCCGCATGACACGAGTTTCGAAGTCTGTTCGTATTTTACTTGCCTTTAACCAGTACAACGTTCGTGACGAAATAAAACGCGAGCATTTTGATGAGCATAAAAGATTGATTTAGAGGATAGTACAATGAAACCTACTTTAATCAGAACTACATGTAATTATCTACCGGGACAGTAACGTCGACAGTAACCATACACTGCGGTAAGTTAGTAGCTACAAATACGTCTTAACGTGAGATGAGCACTCGGTATGCATGAGCATGGAAATGATGTGCGTATCACAACAATGCATTGACAAAACATCGAGGACTATAAAAAAGTACGTTCAAGTTAGCGGGTTATAGGAACACTAGGGTTTACCGGGATCAGGTTACCAGGCTAGGGTTCGGTGCGACAACAGCCAGAGTATTCTCTAAAATTGTTATTTTGAACTCGGAGACTGGGAAGTGAGTTAAAGTTTTATTCCGAATTCTGTAATTTTCTGGCAATCAGTGTAGAGGAAGGAACCAAGACATGAGGTTGTATGGGCTTTGAGATCAAGCAAAGTAAATTCAAAGGGAGAACATCAGGAAATCAATCCAAAAAAGTTAGTGAGATTTTCTTCAAATCAGGGAAACCAGAAACGGACATACCACTTTCGAGACTGACTTGAGAGACTGTAAAGACTTCGAGTTGAATCTTGATATCTGCAACAGGAAGTGCATGTTGATACAGCTATAATCAACATTACACATTTCTTTTAGTCTGAAGCGAGCGTTCCATTTCAATTTCTTCAGTGAAGTTTTTAAGATCAAGCTACCCGTTATGCGAAAATACTGAATAAATTAATAGCACCAAATTTCCGCAAAATGCAGCATGTTTGAGAGAATATAAGCTATCTTTACACGCTGTTTTCTCTTCAGCAACGACTTTACACGCTGTTCGCCTCGCAGCAACGACATAACGTCCTCGTGTTTAATTCGGGTCGTGCAGAAAGAAAATAAACACAAATGGGCTGGGAAATTTTCAGCGTTGCCATTCTACGATTTCGAAAATACGATGATTTAAAATTTTAATTCACCAACCAAAGTTTTTTTACATTTTTAAATGGATAGACCAAACTTTCATATGTGAACGATGGTGGTCGTTCACTGTTACCACTTACCAGTAATTTAATACCAGCATTCTACTAATAATTTCACGTGCATTTGTTAACGTGGATACCGAAAGATCATATCTGAGCGGCTGTGATTCGGTTAGTCAGTCGTGTCGTGCCAGCCCTACTGTAAGCTAGCACCTAAGCTCGCTCCACTTTGCCGTCTCACGAGAGATCTAGTTGTTGCTAGATCTTGTGGCTGTGCCATGAAAGATTTATCAAACTGTTTATCGATCATGAATCTATTGTTCCGCTGATTTTGAAATTATAAACGTGCCTCTTTTTAAACTGTTCATTACTGAAATAAAATTACGTTTTATCCGGGTTAACTGAATTTTAATTAACGGGATCCAAGTGCAAGAAAATAGCAGCGATTGAAACTTTATTCAGATCATTATTTGTAATAAGATAATACCGTCGTTTGACCGCATAGTTCGTGGCCATCTGACAACATTTAAAACTTGCGGCGAAGTCCGGCGGCACGTACATTCATGTTAAAAAAACTGATGTCCCATTTAGGTTGCAGATACCCCGACTCCAAACCAAAATAATCGAATTTTAATGCAGCAAAAATACGAACGCGGTTTACAAAACATTGGTAAATCTAAAAAGGATATAAAATATTATTCAGCATCTTCCTGCATGATAGCTCACCGAGTCGCCGTTGAGGTTCGTAAAAATAATCTGGCTGGGGGTCTGCCAGGGCTGGGGCGCCTCCTCGCAGCCCAGGGCCGTGAGGGGCGCGTCTATCAGCTGCCGCTGGTTCTCCAGCCACGACTGCTTGCATCGCAGCTCACTCAGCTCCCGACGCAGCACGTCGCTAGCACGCTTCAGCACCGGCAGCCTGCAACAAATATCTTATGTTAAAGTACATAAACGCATATACCTATATTTTGCCTAACAACATGCAATGGCATTCAAATTTCTGTTTGAAATACCGTACGTAATACATTTCCGTACTTAATAGTTTGTCATAATGCATTTGCATATCAACTGGAAACATCGCCAAAAATAAGGAATAAACCAATCAACACTTCATCTCGGATAAAACCAAAGAATAACTGAGAATCGAAAAAAACACCGTGAGCAAGAAATTGGCAAAAAAATGTGGGAAAGTTCAGATGCCGACTGAGCGCAAATCAAAGGCTGATGACAAGAAGATGAGAACTGACCGCGATGCGACGGCGACATCTTGAGCCGAGTTCTTCTTAATATTGGCGGCCTCGGCCTCATGTTGCGCTAAGAGGCTCTGCTTCTCCCTGTGCTCGCTGGTCACGTCCCTGAGGCGGCGCTCGAGCTCCGCCAGGCGCTGCTTGAGGTTGTCCACCGTCAGGGAGTCGACAGCGAGCTGACCTGCCTGTAGGCTGCCCACCCCATCACCCAGCAGCGAGGAGCTGAACTCGAACACAACCGCGTCAGGAGGGGTCGATCTGAGGGGGCATTGAAAGAGGAGGAGAACGTGATTAAAATATTACGGAAGTAAAGAGAAAAAAAAAATCATGCCACTATGTGGATAATGCCTTTACATAAAAGAAACCATTCTTTAGACGCTTATTTTGGCCATCAAATTAATCACAAATTTATTATTCATTATAGTGATAGAATGAGCGGACCAGCGGAAAGTGATAGTATCTCTCTGCAGCAGCGGACCTGTTGGTCTCTACGGACCAACACAACAGGTCCGCTAGGGTCTACGGACTCTCTCTGCAGCAGCGGACCTGTTGGTCTCTACGGACCAACACAACAGGTCCGCTACAGTCTACGGACTCTCTCTGCATCAGCGGACCTGTTGGTCTCCACGAAGGTCTGGTACTCAGCGGTGGGACTGACGGCCTCCACAGCGGCGGATATGAGCTGCTGCAGGTGAGCGTAGCGCCCTTGCGTCGTGTCTGTCAGCTGGCACACCTCGCTCAGGATGCTACGCCTGTACACCACGATGATAATATATTAATTGCACATGAAATAATGAGGATTGATTTAGATCACCACGTATTAAGTTTGAGATGAGATCGTCCATTAGGTTTGAGATTCCATCTTCGTCCAGATTGATGAGACAGGACAAGCGATAATCATGAATTCAGCCATTAATTTGAAGTATAGATGCAAATGTCAGCAGTGGCAACAATGTGAGCTCGAATCGTTTCATGAAGAAGGAAACATGACATCTCTTGAGGAACAAGAGGGTGAGCAACAAGAGGTTAATGTCAGTAACGTAGATTACAGCTTATGTCGGGTAAGAAAATTCGTATCACGCACGGCCTGGCTACACGAACTGGTGCTCGCTTCAACTATCTATATATCTCAGTTCAACTATCACATTATCCTTCACTCGTTCCTTGATGCTATAGTGCACACGGTATGTATGCTAGCGATATGAGTACAGTAAGATGTCAAAGTAAATTCTGGTCTTTTCTATTTTCCGCTAATTCTGGTCTTTTTCGAAGTACAACGAAGCAGCTACAGACACAACATTTAAGTATCATATCACTGACCACTTAGTAACCATGTCTTCCTGCAGAGTCTGCTGATACTCGAGCAGACCAGGCAGCAGCACGGTGCGGAAGTCCCTCTCGTAGTCTGCAGCTTCATTGAGCAGCAACACGTACTCGTTGTGCAGCTGATGCAGTTTCTTGCAGCACTTCTGGTAACGCTCCTTCAGCTCGTCCAACTTTCGGCCCGGCTTACCTAGCGAAAATTCCCACGCATGAAACTCAACAGCTAAATAAATTATATGCACACTCAATTCATGAGTCAGCATATCCTATAACAACTATAAAAATGAACAAATCAAAAAGTAATGGAAACACCAACAATAGAAATGACCAAAAAAATGAAGATGGAACTAACAAAAGGCCAGACTTTGAACAACTTGTAACGGCACCTGCAACAGTTGATTTCTCCCGTCCTGTACAACGCGTGGATTAAAGGCTTGTCTTTGCACGTGTCAAATAATGTAAGAAAATTATCACAGAATGATATCGTTTGATTATACATCATAAAATGTATAAATTTCTTAAAAATAACGTCTCACTCTTTAAATAGTGATCTTCATATTTTGCCTTGGCGCCCTTGTAGTGTTCCAGTGCTTGTTCATAGTGCCCCTTCGCCTTGCTTACAGCTTCTTGGTACTGGAAATGAAGAGGTCAATGTTATACCTCATATCGTAGGGCCATGGACTAGCAACCAACTGGCGTCGGCTAAATTTCTTCAGCTCTCGTGCTAATTTAAGCAAAATATAATGTGAAAAAGGGCGTAATGAACAGTAAAAGAAGGAAAACAATAATATATTATAAATACGATCAGGACTATCCCATTATTGATTAATAAATAACATTCAAGTATTGGAACGCAAGCTAAGTCAGATAGATTTACCGAGCGATCAACCACATAGAGTAGCTATGATCGATCAATCTTAAAAAATACGTAGCAAAAGGCTCGTGTACAATCTATCAATAGAACAAGATAGGAAATGAATATGCTCACCCTGGCGACCTCGTTGGATATCCTGAGATGTTAATACGTAGCAAAAGGCTCGTGTACTATCTATCAATAGAACAAGATATGAAACGAATATGCTCACCCTGGCGACCTCGTTGGATATCCTGAGATGTTAATACGTAGCAAAAGGCTCGTGTACTATCTATCAATAGAACAAGATAGGAAATGAATATGCTCACCCTGGCGACCTCGTTGGTTATCCTGAGATGTTCTTCACAATAAACCTTCCTGCTGGCGCGCTTCTCTGTTATGAGCGCCGCCAGCTTCTCGACGGCCTCCAGCACGAGCACGTCTGCGTTGTGGCGCATCAGGCTGCTCCACTCCTCCAGACTCTCCAGCATCACCAGCCATGCCTGCACCACACCACGGTATTAATATTATCTTCTTGTATTCTGTATCAAAATCCAGGTAATTCAAAGCGTAGTTCATCGTAAATAAACTACTATGGCTCTCTTCCTTGAACAGCCGACGTTATTGAATTTATGTAGCTGACTTATGTAGCGAAATGCAGGTAATTGGAAGGGTAGCCATTCGAGCATATACATCAGTGGCTCTCCACCGTCGCCAGCCATGCCTGGCTCACACAAAGCAACAAAACATCTTTGGGTGTCAGTGCATCGGAAAACAGTAGGTGGAGGTGTGGCTATTAAAAGTCTACTCCATATGAATCTCCGCCTTCACTTACCGCGCGTGATGTACATGTAACATGACGTTCTTAGCGTGTGTGCAGATGCGTGTTAATTATGTTTGCAGTGGAACAATAAGGCTAAATAAAATGGTAAGGGTGTCATAGTACATTTCCTTCGGAATAGCAAGGAACCATTCAGAACACATCGAATAAAGATGCTGAACTCAGATTCAGTGTGAAGCCTATATTTTAAAAGAAAACAAAAAAAGAACCTAAAACACGGAGGAGTACACCGTGAAACATACCTTGTGTAGCAAGGAATCCTGCAAAACATTGTCGGGGATGTCCATCTTGGCCGCGGTGTGCGCGAGATGCGTGAGCGCCGTGGAGTAATCACGGTCACACTTTGCTCTGGCGACGAGAACCCTGCGCATGGTGTCCAACAGCCGCACCTCTGCATCCTGCCTCCCCAGCAGAGCAGCGTGGCTCGCGGGGCCCTGCAGACATGCACTGAACCCCATCCTAGCGCCGTCCCCTAGAGCAGGGGAAGCGGCACCACCACGCAGTCGACCCTTCTTCCTCCTGAGATCGTCCCCTCCTCCGTCGCACTCGTCAGGGTTCTCGTGGCTGGACGGTGTGCCAGTCCCGCTCCTGCAATTAATGCATGTGTTAGAGGTAATCAAACACAGCACGTTTCGTGAGGGAAAGAGTTAGGGTAGAAATTCTAGTAAACTCGTTCTTTAAAAATTATTTTTGAAAAAGTACGTAGTGGAAATGATAATTGCTTCAGACATAGTACATGAAAGACAGAAGATTTATTATTGATTCGATTACATAAATGTTTCGGCATAAGGTGCGTCTGGACGCTGTTGCGGTCATGAGGTGTGGACACTGACAGGAAGTGTTCAGCGGAAGTTACCTGTGCCACCAGTTGTAGATTTTATACTGCAACCCGTACACGTGCGACAATAACTCCATTTTAGGCGTCCACACTACTACTACTACTACTACTACTACTACTCAAAAAATCTCCACACTACTCCACACTACTCAAAAAATAGGCAAATATTTATTTATTATATATGCGTATCTCTTTGAGAATAATTATATAATGATATCCACTGAAGGCGTTAGTTCAGTACATGTGCTTGACTATTTAGAAAATTAGCGATGCAAGAGCCTAATAAATAAATAAGGAGGATTTTGTTCTGCTTCAATTGCCTGCAATTTATCTTTCGCTGACGTAGGTATTGAAACATTGTTCATCCTTGTACTTATGTAAGATTTTACTTTTACTACGTACATAATATAACGAAGATGCAATCAAACAACTGGACGCTAGAATGCCCGCAAGATCAAGGGATCATCTCGTCATTAGAAGACCCAACGATCGCCACTAGTAGTATTTTTCAGTCAAGATTCCGAGCTGCCTTTCGTAGGTTGGTACCTCACCATTTTATGATAGAAGCTACAATCGCTTTTAAAATAGCGGAGAATGAACAAATTTTCTATGTAATATTCAGAGGATCCTTGAAGTTGTTTATTATGATAATTACAAATAAAACTTTTCACACAGTCAACGTAGAAAAAAGAAAAATACTTGATTTCGAACTGTAATTTATATTGAACTATTCTACTTTTTCCTGGACAATGAAGCTAACAATAAATTAACCTCCTAAGAACTATATTTTTTATTATTTCTATGTTATTTAATATTTTGGGAATGAGAAGCTGATGGTACGCGCTTCACGAGGTTCGCAATGACACTGAGGGTAGCAGCTCTACCCTCGCCCTCATGAGGGTTAATGCGTTCAATGAGTTGGGCAGGGAGCTCGAGACAGCCTGGGAACCGCGAGACACTCGGCTAGCGAACCTCGTTTACTTAGTCAGGCTCAGATTCACTTTGGATTTTTTTTTCAGTGAATAGGCACTGTATAGGCAAATCAAGGCGTCTACTTCTAGATGTCTTGCTTGATTTATTAGGTGTCAATATAGGTATATGCTTGGACGTTTAATAACAAGGGAGTACAGATTGAATTGCATAAAAACGCGGTCAAGATCATTTGTGCAATTTCTGAAGTATCTCTCGGCAGGGTTCGAAACATTTGATACTGGGCATCAAGCAGGATGTCTATGATGATAAATAACACAGAGCCATTTTTCGACCAGCCAAATGGTTTCCGTACTTTTATGACGCTCAAGCCAGAGGATGTGGGCTCCACGAACGCCCAACTTATACGCTCTTGTGCCCTAGCAGCTAATGAAACTTTCAGAAATTAGCTTAGTCAAATATATAAAATAAATAATTGGTTACATGAAGAGAGTACCTTACCTTGCAGAAATTTTCAATTCTTCAAGGAAAGTAGTCGACAAATTTTGGGTTTGCGGAGTTGACTCGTCGTCAGAAACAAGATGTGAAGTGAAAAATCGACTCCGAGACTTTTCACCCCGTGTATCTGGTGTAAGCTCGTCCTGGTTTTCAACAGGTGGGCGCAGGTGCGATACGGAACTGTAATCATTACATATTTTACGGGGCAGGGGCGATACCGATCGAGAGCGAACATTGGGGACATTCTCGCCATTCTTGACATTCGTTTCGGAACTAAAGGTAAAATTTACAACGTTCCCCTTCAGAAGGTCAGAATCCACAAAAGCACTTCGAGGTAGCAAGACTTCCTTACATTTATCCGTATCGTTAACGCATTTCTTCTTGAAAATGGACTTCAACGAGTAGTTTCGTTTCGTAAAATTGCTCACGAACTTTGCTGCGCCATCATTTACAGGTGCAGATAGATCGTCCACAGACTGTCCCTGTAATTTGGTAGCCATTCCCTTCATTGATAAATCATAAGCGCATCATCGTCGATTCACTCACTTAAATGCCTGAATTTACGCGCATATAATACATGTGAACGGCTTGACACACTGTAAATTAGTGAATCGCTAAACTTATAATTAAAATTAGGTCAACACTGGTTGATAGAAGTATATAAATGACAAACTGTTTTTAAAAATAATAGCACCATCATTTACAGGATCTGAATACTGAAATACTACGATACTCTGAAAAAAAAATTTCTTTCGTGAAGTTTTCACTTGCTCACGCAGAAATGTAAAGGTAGACAAGGAGAATTTTCTTTAAACTACCCTCAATGCATTTTTTCTCAAAACATGCACTGCACAATGAAATAAATGAAAAAAAATATATATATAATTAGTCATCGTCGCCCGCGAGATACCGTAATTGATAACAATAAAGGAACACGTAATTAGTTATACTTGAAGCTTTTAACACAAGACTTGATGTATGTATAGAGAAAATTGGATATGCGACGCGGTGTTGATGTATTCCGTGCAAAATAGATATAAATGAATCTCATCTACAGAATACATACCCTGTACATTCACGTCAAATTTGAGTATGATTTCTTTGCAGATACATGCTAAAATACGGAGATTTACAGGCAGGAGCAAAAACATACCTGACTCCATAAAAACCTCACATAATGAACAGCTGTAATTCAGTTATCACGTAGTATGATCAGCCGAGTGAAAGAATGTTGTATAATTTATAATGTACGACAAGCATTGTCCAGGATTGCACGAATTCTGGACCGTATTTCTACATTTGTTCAGAGAATTACCGAACTTTCAAAGCAACACTAGCAATTATGCACACGTTCCTTTCTCTTCGTTGCTCTTTGGATTTCTTGACAATCCTGCAGCAATCCAATTTCGCGTATTAATTTCACTTGGGGAAAGAGTATATAGCAATCATGCAGGGATCCAACCCTTTACATTAACAGTACTTTGAATAGAATGACAATCACTTAGAAATGCAATCCCATATATTAATTGCACTTGAGATAGAGTGACAATCACGCAGCAATCAAATCATTTATATTAATTGCACTTGGAATAGAGTGACAATCACGTAGCAATGCAATCCCATATATTAATTGCACTTGGAATAGAGTGACAATCACGTAGCAATCAAATCATTTATATTAATTGCACTTGGGATAGAGTGGCAATCCCACAGCAATGCAATCCATCACACTTACAGGCCGCAATACGTTATCTGTCACACAGCGTGCATGAGGCACTCGCGTCGCCAATTCGTGTACATTAATTGACGGCGTACAAAGCGTAAACAAGCGTCACTTATTAAGTATGATAATAATAATTATTGTAATGGATCGTCGATAACAGCAGCTTATTTTTAGGCGCAATGTTTCTTAAATAATAATAGAATGCTGCTGGCTTTGAAAATAAAGATGTCAGTCAAATATTCAATAGTTGATTTCCGCTAAAAAAATCCCGCTAAAAAAATACAGATAATTTATTTTCCCGAATTATTGTTTTTGTTAATAAATATAATATAAATTTTAATTACTGATAAGCAATCGCTTTTCAACAAGATCTGCTTTTTCTGACCAAGTGGAATAAATAACACTTTTTCATTGAGTAACCTCAGCTTTTTATAAAACCTATGGTAAAAAATCTGTATTTTTCTCGCCTTCACCGAGTAAAGAAAATGGGGAGAGAATTGCACCAAGTATGAGGGGGAATAGGACGTCAAGCGGCAGAGGAATTTCACTTTCTGCATAACACTTCACGAGACTCGGCGCTAAAGATAACTTGATAACGCACAAATAATGATAATTTACAGTGGATGATAACTCGATAACTGTCAAACCACAGTCTCTTGAACAAGTTGAGTTGGTTTACATTAAGAAGGTTTGGTGGCACGAACATCTTAATTCCTACAAAATGCCGTGAAATGTAAACCTAAAGCACATATTGAAATGTCAACTTGTGTAACCGAAAAATGAACAGTTTTACCACGATTATCGTATACGTCTATCATTTCAGATTTTTCACGATCAAAATATTATTATTGTAACACAATAATAATTTATAAATAATTTAGGTAATTATTGTAACAAAAATAGATGTCGAAACCATAATAATTATTTTATAAAAATGTTATCGAAATGCCATAGCGCATGCCCGAGTCGCCATGCCTGATGAGTCATAGCGCAGACGACGATTATAGCTATGATACGCAACAGCTTCATGTACAGACGTCGAAAAGAGTTGTTATCAAGCAGTTGCTTCAACTTAGAAAGCAGCCAGCTTGTGATCGTATATCAGTAGGAGAAGTACGTAATGAACATATGTGTCTGGCGCTCTAGTAAATATAAATAAGATAATCAAACATGTTTAGCGTAGTGGGGCACCAGAAATCCTGATTTAGTCCTTATTATATTTATAACAGCAAAGCGAAATTGACAATATTACTGTGTTTTAATGATGCACCAGCACCTACAAATATATATCAATACATATAATGATGTAAATTTTGAGCAGTAATTCTCATCAACGAAATGAAAAAGGCAAAGATAACAGCAGCGGTGAGGCATTCCAATGCCCACCAAAATAACTTTTTCCCGCACGAACCTTACTTCAGAAATGGGTCATTTTGTCCACATTGATACACGCTTAATCACCCTTATAGCACAAGCAGAGAGCAGACACAGCACTGATACGCTCTTCTCCAGGTTAGGTTGACCCAAACAAGCGCAAAAAATATAACTCAGTACTCACTGCAGTGAGTGACAGAGAGCGCATTTTCTCGTCAACGAAAACTTGAGGTCACGGACAGACGGACGGACAGACAGACAGACGGACGGACGGACGGACATGGCGAGCACAATAGTGCATTTTTTCCATAAATGAGAAAATGCTCTAAAAATTGCATCGATATTTGGACAAGTCTCTCAATTCTTTGAGTGCTCCCGCAACCGAAACTGGTCCCAGCATGCATCTAGCATGGCCAGCCGTGTCTTCAAACCACACGATGCATGAGCAATAAATAATATAAACTACCTATAACAAAATACAAGTCAATAACACATTCTAAGGAAAAGATCGGCATCTATGTCAGATAATGAATTTATAAGCGCTACTCTGATAAGGAAGACTATTTCCTAGTCACGTACACGAGCATGCAGCTGTGGTCCGGTGAACTGTTAAACTCTATAAGGAATATATCGATAACGAACAAATAAAATATGAGATTCGGGAGTTTGGTCCATCGAACGAAGATGAAAATTCTTCGTCAAATAACTAAAACATCAAGTGATTTTCAAAACACTGTCTCATTACGTCTAGCAGTTTGCTTTGAACATTAACTTATTTATATTATAAGGAAAATGTTTTTAGTACAACTCATTTTGGAAGGAGTAATTTTCTTCTTCAGAAAGATAAGGTGAAGTATACAACGGGCTCCGTACTACAGCCTCCTCTCCTCCACATAGTTGCCTCGCTCAGCTTCCTGTCTCAGCGCCTCCCTAGCCGCGACACACCCTCTACACGCAGCGTGTAGTGCAGCACACGGCAGGCCACCACCTGCAGCGTGTAGTGCAGTACACGGCAGGCCACCACCTGCAGCGTGTAGAGCAGCACACGGCAGGCTGCTCACCACCTGCAGCGTGTAGTGCAGCACACGGCAGGCTGCTCACCACCTGCAGCGTGTAGTGCAGCACACGGCAGGCTGCTCACCACCTGCAGCGTGTAGTGCAGCACACGTCAGGCAGCTCATCACCTGCAGCGTGTAGTGCAGCACACGTCAGGCTGCTCACCACCTGCAGCGTGTAGTGCAGCACACGGCAGGCTGCTAACCACCTGCAGCGTGTAGTGCAGCACACGGCAGGCTGCTCACCACCTGCAGCGTGTAGTGCAGCACACGGCAGACAGCTCACCACCTGCAGCGTGTAGAGCAGTACACGGCAGGCAGCTCACCACCTGCAGCGTATAGTGCAGCACACGGCAGGCTGTTCACCACCTGCAGCGTGTAGTGCAGCACACGGCAGGCTGCTCACCACCTGCAGCGTATAGTGCAGCACACGGCAGGCTAATAACAATATCAATAATGTCAATACATTCGTAACTATCATTCGCAAGCGCGTTTGTCGCGCAGTGACATTCACTGCAGACAATAACGCTGTTGTGGAGGCACTTGTGAGATAAGACAAGGCGACAACCATAAATATGACAAAATTGTATTAACGCCGGCACCAAACACGACTGCACCAGAAATATCATATGCGAACATACATTCGGTAATCATATCTTATAATAACGTTGTAATTTCATATGTACGGTTTATGACATGCCTCGCTTTTCAATCATCCGTTTGTGATATTCAATCACACGATAAGATAAAATTTAATCCAGCAGACAAGCAGCAACTACAGTGAACTACTGAAATACCTAGTACGAGATCCCACAGAAGTCAGAAGTTATCAACGAATATCGTCCAAATAGCTTGTAAATGTTTCATTATTCTAGCGAAGTCATCACAAACTCTGCCACTCACATGAAATGCCGTTACAAATTAGTTATCGGCCATTATTGTTATGAATCCACTTTTACTTTATTATCGTTATTTGGATCAGACCTATGGGAACATCTGCTTAATTAACGATACGGTTCCTGGAATATACAGATAAACCAAATTTCAGTCAAGTAGTAGAGCGACATTCCTATTTGATGTAGACGAAACGTAATTAATTTGAAAACACAGCACATGGAATCTGTTGTTAAAGCGCTGTCTCTCACCATCACCACACTTCACGCACGTTACCTCAATACTGAACGTTCGTGGCGCTGGCGCTGGCGGGACGTCGGCGAAGTTACCGCGCTACCGAGTCATTGCCAGAGGTGAGCAACATTGCGCATGCCGAAATTTGAGATATGAGTCATTGTCGGGACCGACTAAAAATCACTAAATCGTCGAACACAAAACGACTCGTTGTATTGTTAGAGAAAAAAAAAGGTAATTCAACTCCATTGAGAATAATATCGAAGCTATCAAAAACACAAAAGGAAAATTTGAACGAAAGACTAACTTCGATTCGAAGTTAGTGCAGCGATATAAATTTTAAAATTAATTACA